TCGTGTGAACATAGTAATCACCTCCCGCGATTGTGGCAAAATGGTAATCATCTCCCTCGGTCTTGTGGAGATCATCATCCTCTTACGCAAATTATGCAACATTTTGACCTTTTCCCGCGATCGTGTGGCCATTTATCATCGTCTTGCGCGATTGTGATAAGATTCTGATCACCCCTCGCGGCCGTGAAGACATCATTATATCGTCCCCGTCGGTCGTTTGGACAAAGTAATCGCCTCCCGCGATTGTGGCAAAATGGTTATCATCTCCCACGGACATATGGAGATAATCGTCTTCGGCGAATGAGGCAAAATTCTTATCTTTTCCCACGGTCATGTGTGGTCATAATCATCGTCTTGAGCGATCGTGGCATTATTGTGATCATCCCTCGTGACCGTGTAGAAATCATTGTCGTATTCCGCGGTTCTGTAGACATCGTAATGGTTTCCAGCAGTTTTGAAGATCATCGTCGTCTTCTACGATCGCGGCAAAATTCTTGCTGTTTCCCGCGGTCGTGTGGACATTATCATCATCTTCCGTGATTGTGGCAATATTCTGATCATCCGTTGCGGCTCTGTGGATACCATCATCGTCTTCTGCGATCGCGGAAAATTCGGATCATCCCTCGTGGCCGTGTGTATAGACATATTATCGTCTCCCGCGGTCACGGAAACGTCACTGTTGTCATTCGCGATCACGGTAAATTGAAAACTCCATGTAGAAATACAAAATTCACGCTTCAAAAATACCCCGCATGATTGGATTTCCCGGTCGGTGTACACCCTGTTATATATATATATATATATATATATTGCAAAGGGGCGCTACTATTAGATGTGCCTAGGGCGCTGACAGGGTCAAAAACGGGCCTGAAAAGACCATTGCTAACGTAACTTCCTTTGTAAAACCTGGGGCATTGCTGTGTGATGTCGTAAAGGATGTTAAGGATCTTTCCAAAGACTTGAGTGAAAATGATTATCTGTTGGTAATAGGTGGGACAAATGATATCGAAGACAAAAGTGTAAGCAGCATAAAAGAAGAATTCAACACTTTACTAAAACAAACTTGATTATTGCATCACTGCCTATGCGACATGACATGCCAAAATTAGACAACAAAATTAGTAACCGATCAATAATGAAAATTAGTAACATAAACTATTGGCTTGAAGAAAAATTAAACAACTCCATAGAAAAAAGAAAATTACTAGAACTACACCTCTTGCCACGGGAAATGCACACAAATCATGGTTTGCATTTCAACAAAAAATTTAAAAGCAAAATTTCTGAAGAAATCCTAAATACAATCCGCGAGTGCTGTTTCAACCCCGCTCTATCCAATAACTTCAACATCCAACTGCCTTCAGATGAAGAACCCGTCACAGTTGTAGAGGCTGACATGAATAAGGTAATTCACAAGCTGTGAGACACCAAAAACGTAATTAAAAAGCATTTCAATCTTATTTCGAATTAACATAAACATTACCAATGATTTATAAAAATTAATCAAGTTTTCCGATCGTATAGATAGGACATCCTTGGGAGATCTGTAGGAATTCCCCATGGGGCAGAGCTCCACAGAATAATTATCCAACTCAAATTATTTACCTTTTTATAATAAGTACCTGGGGACCGAGCCCACTCTGCGATTACAGCCTTTACTACTTCCTTCACCATTTCCTACGTCATGGACCTGTTTCCTTCCCTTCTCATAGCATTCAAGTATTACAGATACATTAATCTAACTGCCACAAACGGTTCCCACACTCCGCACTGCAAGCATTTACTACTTCTTTCACCATCTCCTATGTCGTGGACATGTTTCCATCCCTTCTCATAGCATATCAGTATTTCAATTTCAGATACATAAATCTAACTGTTACAAACGGTTTCTAGTTCCCACACTCCACACTGCTCGCCTTTACTACTTCCTTCACCACTTCCTACGTCGTGGACCTGTTTCCTTCCCTTCCCATAGCATTTCAGGATTGCAGATACCTTAATCTGATCGTCATTAACAGTTCCCACATTCCGAACTGCTCGCCTTTACTACTTCCTTCGCCCCTTCCTATGTCGCTGACCTGTTTCTCTCCCTTCCGATAGCATTTTAAGATTGTAGATACCTTAATCTAATCATCATAAACAGTTCCCACACTCCGGACTACTCGCCTTTACTACTTCCTTCACCACTTCCTTCACCACTTCCTACGTCGCGGACTTGTTTCCCTCCCTTCCCATAGCATTTTAGGATTGCAGATACCTTAATCTGATCGTCATTAACAGTTCCCACACTCCGGACTGCTCGCCTTTACTACTTCCTTCGCCCCTTCCTACGTCACGGACCTGTTTCCCTCCCTTCCCATAGCATTATAGGATTTTAGATACCTTAATCTAATCGCCATAAACAGTTCCCACACTCCGAACTGCTTGTTTTTACTACTACCTTCACCACTTCCTACGTCATGGACCAGCTTCCCTCCCTTCCCATAGAATTTTAGGATCGCAAATACCTTAATCTAATGGTCATTAACAGATCGCACACTCCAGACTGTTTGCCTTTACTACTTCTTTCACCACTTCCTACGTCGCGGACCTGTTTCATTACCTTCCCATAGCATTTTAGGATTGCAAATACCTTCCCATCCTTATGGAACAGCTTTAAGCCACTTTTATTGTTAGTTCTGTCCGGTTTTCTGTAGATGTTGTGTTTTTGCAAGAAATAAATTGTAAACAAAGCACGACATCTACAGAAAACCGGACAGAACTAACAATAAAATTGGCTTAAGATGATCCATAAGGATGGGAAATTTTTCATAACACATCCCACACTCCACACTCTGCTATCCTTTACGACAATCTCAGAGTAATAAAACAAAACTACAATGTATCGAGTAAGGTTCAGTATAATCTTTGCTCAATAGTAACAAGTGATGTCTTTCCTTTTGTACTGTCAATGTAATTTATAGTATACTGTGGGTAGATGCCTTTTTGAACACATGTTACAACTTACAAGTCTTTTGTTTACTTTTTCCTTGTTATTCAATTCAACCAACATGGTTACTTAGCAACCCATAAGACTAATGTTTAAAAAATGTGACTTTCAGTTTCATTTTTCCGTGTAATTAGATTTTTGTTGGCAGTTCTAACTGCAGTAAAGTCGATTTTAGGCCAAAAATAAACGATTTACAATATTTGAAGAAAATCGTCAGAGCATACATAGAAGCAAACATTGCTCGTATTAGAGTATAGGATAATAAACCTGCTTATAATAATATAATAATAATGATGCAAATATTTGTTTGATTAACATTCTTTAACTTATCAGAGAAAATGTTATTAGTTGAATAATTTGAGGAGAAATATTAATTAATCATATAACAATTATAATAACATTACTAATGGTAATTAATTAATCTATATTCAAATACCAGTATCCTCTCCAACTCCCAGAAAAACAAATTTAACAACTTGATGCCTAAACAGAATCATATAGTATCAAAAATATTTAAGTATTGCAACCATTGCAGCTGTCGGCGTCTCTTTAACCGCTTGAAAAGCTTGTAATATCAACAATCACAGATAACTCAGAGGTAAGGTATGAGGTTCATAAGTTGAAGGTATCAGGTTCAAGACCCCCCTGGGGAACAATTTTTTTTCTGTTTTTTTTTTACTTTTGATTTTATAAACTATTTAATCAAAATACTCAACTGATAAATGTGCTTTTCAGACTAAAAACCTTTATTATTTTGTGTTTTTATGTACGATATCCTGATGGGATATTCCAGGGATCAGGATTTGGGCGGACATAGGGATATCCCATTGAGTCCCCCAGGAAACTCTGAGGACTTTAAGGGATTTACAGAGGATATATCCCACTGGGATATCCCCAAGACATTCCAAGGATCTTCTTGTGTTGTGTGGGTGTGTATTTTTTTAGAATAAGAAAGCTTGGTTACTGGGTTATGTCTAAATATTGACTCAATTGTAAATAATTCTATATGTTTTATTTTCAATCTTTTAATACATTTTTATTCATAAATTTGAATTTTAATAAATAATACGTGATGAGCTGATGTCACCTGGTTGCCATGTTATCTTATGGGACGTCTGGCACTAAACAACACTACTTGCGACGTTGCCAGTTCTACCAGGCCGCGGCCTGGAGTTAAAGGTGTCCGTGATTGATCTCTTTTCCTCTTCATCTAACTCTATTCCTATTAACCCTTTTAGCGAATTTCCCATAGAAGAGAATAAGCTACCATAGGTCTCATGATAACGCCTGGACCCGGGACCTTCATTTAAACAATTTTTAAATACTAAACTGTCTTTGCCCAATACATTTTTGAAACTGCTCTCATTGCGAGAGAAAGTATACCACATAACGCACAATTTTGCTACAATACAAGAGGAAAAGCCCTAAGAGAAAGTAGTCGCAACCATCTTTTATTTTAAAATAAAAAGCCCACCTGTGCCGGAAGAAGGTTTTTACATTTTCTTCCAAGTCATTTAAGAACCATAGGCAACATCAAATTTAAAAACAAATTAAAAAATTATCTTATAGAAATTGCTCCTTACTCCATTAAATAGGTGTTTCCTCAATCAATTAACCTGATTTTATTGGTTGTTTCTTAGTATTGTATAAATTGTAATTTTAGCTTATAACTGTATTTACTAAGTTAGGATTTAGGTTAGGAATTTGACACTATTCTATTTACAATGAACAATTATTGAATAAAGATATTGAAATTAAATGAAATGAAGTATTGTAATTATATTTCTTTTTTTACAATATTTATTATTGCATCTGGTAATTTTTGAAAATATTGAGCCAAATATCAAAGTAGACTCAAATAAAGGTAATAAAGATACAAAGTATGAATGCCACAATTGACTCTATGATTCTGGGTAAGTGAGTGAGTGTTGTGATTGTTGAGTGCTGCTTGTGACTAAGGTGAGGCTAGGTGAGCTAATATCTGAGAGTTTATCAACACTGATAACAGGTTTATCTGGCACTCCCAGTCAGTTTCCCATACCTCACACAGCTAGGATTCTGCTGTTCCAAAATGGGTGTTTTCCTGAAATTTATAAAGTGTGCTTTTATTACTTTATGTAAGTACTGTTAGTTATTTAAATACTTATATAAACAATGACTGATTTTTACAAATAATTTCAATAATTTGTTTTGATACTATATCAACAAGTTTGTTTGAAGTTTGCGGTGGTTTGAATTCTTATCAATATTTCACCAGGAAATGTTAAAATAGGATTTAAACATGTTTTACCTGCTTGGGTATTGAAAAAATATCCTCGCTAGATGCAGTGTGGTTAAGTTTTGTAAAAAGTTTAAGTACAAAAAAAGATTTTTTTAACTATTTAAGATGTTTGAAATTGATCTGCGGCAACCTTCTTGCAGAGGCGGATCCAGGATTTTGTTGAAATGAGAATCTTTTACGCACTTATATTTTTACATATTGTGTGGACTTTTTGCTATATGTCATACACATATGTATATCAACTAAAATGTGTGAACTTTATGAGGATTCAAAATAAAACCCATTTTTTAAGTTGGGTTTGGTTTACTGGTATTTGTAAAAAAACGGAATTGGTGAAAAACATTTTGGTTTATTGTTTGTAATGCAATAATTTCGCCATGGCCATGGAAGACGATAATGATGTCCCCACGATCATGCGGGACCTGAAAGGATCGACATGAAGATTTGGCCGTGATCGCAAAACACAATGATGATATCTTTGCAAATTGCAATCATGGTTCAGGGTATTGTCCAGATCACAGGAAACTATATCGAGACTTATGGTCTTCACGGGGATGTTCAAGATATTTCCGAAACCGCGGTAGACGATGACAATGTCTTTGGGATCCACGAGGTGTTTCAGAATTTTGTCGCGACCGGAAAGACGATGTCTTGGTGTTCACGGGAGATGCTCTCAAATCCGCCACGATCGTGGGATACGATTATGATGTCTTCAATATAGCCGATCTGTTTCAAAATGTCCAGGGATCGTTAGAGAGGATAGCAGTATCCACACGATTGGGGGAGATGTTGAAGACAATTTTAAGGTTAGATCCTATTGGTTTATGTAGAGGGCAATTGATTGATTATCATTTGTTCCCTTTTAATCAAAACCGATTTAAACGTTTTACCAAATAAAACAATCCATTAGAAAACCATTACTTAGCCTGTATATTTTGACTAAAGAATAAAGCAAAAATAATATAATTTCCCCTAACAAAAAAAATGAGAAAAAACATTTAGTCAGCACTCTTAAACCTCACTAATACGAAACCAGTGTGTATCGTCAAACAAAGACATTTTACTTAGTCAATATATGTAAATGTAATGAGTAGCCCAAAGTATTGGGTAAACCGCCAGTAGGGGTTACCGACTGTTACGTTTACAACGGATTAATTCACAGTTATGTTAGGTAAAATGTTTTAGTGATGTCGGTTGAGTTATCGTGCATGTCCAATGATGATTAGTTTGGTTTTGTCAGGGCTCAGTTTTAAGCCATTCTTTGCTGCCCATTCCATAATTCTGTTGCATTGATTCAATTAATTCATTCACCTCACTAACTTTAAAGTGAGCGTAGATTTGTAAGTCATCAGCGTAAGAATGAAACTTGGCATGTTAAAAAACTGCTGAACTGATGTCGTTTCTGTAGATAGTAAAAATTAAAAGGCAAAGTATTGATCCTTGACTTAAGGAACACCACAGAGTACCTTACTCCAGGCAGACGGCTTTGTCATTACACAAACACTGCTTTCGGCCATGGAGATCGTTATAATCAATACTCGCCTTGAACAGGAACCTGTGGAGGCGTTCCTACTGTGTGTTTCTGAGAAAATTGCGAGTGTTCCCAACAGTGAATGTTAAGGGTGCGCTCTACTTCAGCTTGGATTTCTCAGTACGATGTTGCTTCACACGATGTTCTTATACCATTGCACTGAACAGTGCCATGGAGAGCGCTTGCGAGATTTCTGAATCTAGGTCATTACAACGTTATCCTTAACCCTTCTAGTAATAGTAAACTAACAGCAGATTCTTGATTTTAGGAATCTGCACTTCCCCCGGTTGTTATTTTTTCTCTAAACATTATTTGTATGCGTTTAAACTTATGATAAATACACCCGCTGCAGCAAACCTTATTTTTTTGTATTTTGACATTTTCACCAACCTTTTAGCCCAACTTTTTTTAATATACCTAAATTTTAAAAAGTGCAAGACCTACAATAATATTTAACAAAAAATAAGACACCAAGATCTTTTAAATCGGTTCACAATTGGGGCTGCAAACAGTAAGAACCAAAACCCTTGCATTTGCGCACGCCTGACGGGTAGAGAGCAACCACGCTGGAAAAGGTTGATGTTTCAATTTAGCTAATATGGCATAGTTGATACATAAACAATCTGGAAATACCTAACAGTTATATGCTTTACAATGTAACCTATTTTTTCAGTTCTTGTCACAATATTCACTGAAGAAGTGGAAGCCAGAAGAAAGATTCTAAAAGGAAGAAAAACTATCACAAGGGAATACTACAGTAAGTTATCTGTTGAATACCTCTTTCGATCACAACCTGGAACAGTTTAGATTGATGTACACTGATTTCATTTTAAGAATAATATTGTATAGTGATGAATTTGCTTTGCACTGTAATGCTTACATAGCCCATTGAAGAATCTTTAAAATGTTTAAGTTATCTTTATTACAATGCATGTAAAATACAATTTGAAATGTTTAATTAGATCATGATTCTTTATGATTTGTGTACTCTCATGCTGAGAGGGAGATAATGTTGCGGTTGGGGGAGTGTTACTTCAAATGAAACACGTACATGATGATCACATGAAAGTTAGTCGGTTAAACATGTTTTAGAGAATGGTAGTGAATTTGGTCAAAGATTACTTTTTCTGTTAATAAGTCAACCTTGGGCCTAGTTTATTTCCCTCCGCACTCTAGTGCTTTTCTGTTTCCTGTTTGCAAAGCATTTTTGATAGGCTTGAACCTTATGATCTTAACAATTGACATATTTATTATTATAGGGGACAATTAGTATATTTATGACATTAAATTTAATCTGCTATCAGGAAATAATATATGTAGACACACAACTTATGTTTTTTGCGAGCTAGCAAAGATTTGAAAGGATTTTCATTATCAGGAATTAAAATTTCTACAAAGCCCACTATAGCGTTTCTTGAAAATCTTACACCTTCACCCCTAAAAAAAACACTCTACTTTCAAAATTTTTTACCTTTTTGTCAAATATTTAATGGGTTTTTAATTATTTAAACTGGAACCTCCATGTAAAATTTCAAGGTAGTTTTTGTGATCTATCTCCAAATAAAAAAGCAGGAGGTATCGTGGATCTGCTATCTCATAGGTTTTCACTAATAGGCCTAAACATATGCTTAATAGGTCTAAAATAAAATTCATGCTCAGTAGTTACTGCTTCATCATCCCTGACTTTTATATAAATTGCTCATTTGACTTATTTCCTTCGGATCCATCCACAATATAGCTTTTAGCTAAGCTCTTGAGTCTAATGATGAGAATCATACAGATGAGATTGATGGGTTTTTATTCCCGAGGCCACACCCAGTTGCATATTTTAAGAGAAACATGAGTGAACAATGAGAGATAAATGAATGAGATGACAGCTTTTTGGTCAGCTGGTCCCATAGGTCCATTTATTAAAAACCAAATGATTCAGAACAGCTGGACTCAGTTTCAGACCATTAAAAATATTTTTACTTTTTACAGAGCCGTCGCTCCTCCCCTCGTGGGCCAATGTGCTGCTACTGGGGGTAGGGTTCCTCATCGTGGGTGTCATCCTCTACATTGCATTGGCAAAGTTTATACTTGGGTCTACAACCGGCATATTCATGATGGACAATGAGGTTTAGCATGTCCATAAATAAAACTAACAAACAAAATTATGTGATTTTTGTAACTACTGTATTTGTATTTGATATAAGTTAGGTTATATAAATGTAAATGGCTAAAGGAAAATTTTTGTTTATTTTATCACAATTTTCCAAAGTATATCTTTCGATATCAATCAGGGCCGGTTTACCAAATAGGCACGTTAGGCACGTGCCTTGGGCGCGAGGCAATTGGCATTTTTGGGGGGCGCCAAATAATTGGAAAATAAAAAATTTTGTGGTTGTATTTGCATGATTGCGGTAAACTTTTGATGATCCCTCCCGGCCGTGTAGACATCGTAACTGTCTCCCGCGATTGAGGCAAAACTCTGACTATTTTCCACGGACGTGTATACATAATTATTACCTTCCATGATCGCGGATATATATGAAGATATCCCGCGGTCGTGAGGAGATTATCATAGTCTCGCGGTAGGGGCAAAAGTCTGATCACTCCTCGCGGCCTTGAAGTCGTCATTAATCGTCCCCCACGGTCGTTTGTTCATAGTAATCGCCTCCCGTGACTGCGGCAAAACGATAATCATTTCCTGCCATCTTGTGGAGATCATCATTGTGTTCCGCAAATGAGGCAAAATTCAGAACTTTTCCCGCGATTGTATGAACATTATCATCATCTTCCGCTATGGTGATAAAATTCTGATCACCCCTCGCGGCCATGAAGACATCATTATATCGTCCCCCGGTGTCGTTTGTTCATAGTAATCGCCTCCCGCAATTTTGGCAAAATGAAACGGTCCCACTACCTCATCCATGTAATGTAGGTATAGATCATCGTCTTCCGTGAATGAGGCAAAATTCTGATCTTTTCCCGTGGACATGTGGAGATTATCATCGTCTTGCACGATCGTGGCACTCTGATCATCCCTCGCGGCCATGTAGAAATCATTATTGTATCTTAAGCGGTCCTGTAGATATCGTAATCGTCTCCCACGGCCGTGAAGACATCGTATTAGCGAATTTCCCATTAGGGAAGTAGCTATTATTGTTTCCCGTGGTTGGGGCAAAATTTTAATCATTCCCGAGTTTGTGTGGACATTATCATCGTCTTCCGTGATGGCAGCAATATTCTGATCATCCCTCTCGGCCGTGTGTAGACATATTATCGTCTCCCGTGGTCACAAAAACATCACTGTTGTCATTCGCGATGGCGGTAAATTGAAAATTCCAGTTGGATATACAAAATTCACGCATAACTCCCGGTTAAAAACTCAATCTTAATTCTCGGATTCCCGGTTTTCCCCGTCAGTGGACACCCTGTATATATATTGCAAAGGGGCGCTACTATTAGTTGTGCCTAGGGCGCTGACAGGGTCAAAAACGGGCCTGATAGCAATTAATTATTGCAAAAACAGTTTTTGTATCAGAAAATGTTATGGGTATTTTTTACACTACAGAATTTTTCCTAACAAATAAAATTTGTCTAAGTACAGTACTTAAAATATTTGTCTAGGTACTTAAACATGATTGTTTTTTATAATATTATTTTCTTTGAGAGAAAAGGAGTCAGAAATAAGTCACAAATTTTTTAGTTAATTTATGTTTTTTCAACAGATAGTTGTTAGAGTATACACATTGCTTAGACTAGTATCGATTGGTTAACAAATCTAAAGTTTTAAAAATGATAAAAGTAGGTTTACAAATGACCTTCCTATATTCACAGTCCAACATGGTATCCTAACCAAGTTTCTAGTGGCTAAATCAATTAGTTAAAATAGCAACAAAAACAGTGAAACAGTTATTGGGATGAAAATAAAAATATTAACCTAGAGATGAACACAGCAGGGAAGCTTCAGTCTAGCCCTTAGCTACTATCACAAGATATTGCTTAAAACCTTATTGCTTTTGGATTCATGGTATTGCTTCTAATCCATTCTTAAAACTAGAAAACAGCACAACTTTTAACGTAATGCAAAGCACTCCTAGAGTATAAAAAGGTTTTTGTCTGTAATAACCTCCAATTGCTATAACTAGTAACACTATGCACGTCTAAAACAGCATATAATTAAATAGTACCACAAACTATGTCATAATCGCTACGTTATATATCAATAACAATACTGCTTGGCTGGCCAAAGTGCTATTTATTTACAAATGTCACTTAAGAAACTCTAGTACGTATATTATTGAAGTAAGACATTATAGTAGTTTGGTACACTTTTGACTCTACAAACTACAATTGGTGTATATTTTTTAAATATTTTACTACAACTTATTTTAAAAACTTTGTAAAGCAGTTTAGCAAAACACTATAATCAATGGTTCATCTGTACGGAACATATTTACTGTAAATATATCAGGCACTACAGGTCTCTCTGCCTATACCTCTTTTGCTAAGCGGCCTTTAACTGACTTGAGGAAACCAATTTGAAAATGGGAGACAGAGACTTACTACCCTATTACAAAGTATTGCTTATATTATACTGTAGAAAACATACAACCTTGCTCAATATAAGGATTAAGGCAACTTTCATTCTGAGTAGTTTTTAAACATATATACATAAGCACCCGCAGAAAGCAGAAGTAGAAAACCCCTAGTGATCTCTATGTGAACTAAAGGAATTTATGGTTCCTAAATTAATTTTATAGCTTTTATATTTTAAAACTAGTTCAGTTTTGAAAAAAGTAACTTGTGTTCACCTGTTTCAAATTAACACTCCTTCATTACAGAAGCTTCTTCAAAACATTTAGAGGGGATCATGGGATATAGTTCGATGTTATACAGACAATTTTAAATTAGTTCACAAAGTAGGTTCTTCAAAGTTTTTTAATTATACTAACTTTTTTAAGTATTCAGAATATTTGGACATTAATATAAAATCATTATTAAAAAAATATGCATTGTTTAAAATTTACTTGAAAATATTTTCTTTAAACCATTTTTACTGCTTATCAATTATCTATTGATACAAGACCAAATTTTCTTTGGTATTTTAACCATGTTTTATGAGTATATGAACTGTATATTGTTTTAATAGTCTACTCTTTAATTTATTATAAACATTATGATGAAAGTTTTTGAATTTTCAAAGAAATTTAGGTAACAAATGTAATAGCTTTGCTATGAACTATAATATATGCAATTTTCACTACTTGATATAAAAGCTCTAAACTATCATTGACCAATACTGTAGTATAAGCGTCTGACTGCAGTCATTAATTGCTGTGAATTGCTATGGAATTCAATTTTTTTCCAGAAGGACGATAAGTTTATTAAGGTTATTGAACATTCTAGTTTTTTTGTTTGTTTTAAACCGTGTACCATATCTAGTATGGATTACGTAAATTTAAAAAAAATTAAGCTGAAGCAATTTATTGTGAAAAATCTTCATACTGGGTAAAAAGACAGCAACTCTCGATAATTCAACGCATGTTATTTCTTTGATTAATGTTCATTATTGGTAAAAGTAAGTACATTGTGTGGAGGATGTACAGGATTCCTTTCCCTGAGAAGACTGGGTAAGACTCTTGATCCTCTAATGCTGTGAAACTTGTAACCTTCAGTAATGTAAAATTTCTTCAATAATCCTTTAAACAACCTATGTCATTTGGAAAAAGAGGGATTGGATTACCAAAATAACAAAATATAAAAATATTCCTTACGCTACCTAATATTGCTATTGTACAATAATAGATAGCATAATTAGAAAATCTAACTTGTATTGCATTTTTATCTATTCATACATTTAGAATACTGGTATATGTTTGTTAATTACAAATATAACTTATTGTTCGTAACTCTAGAAATGGTAAAGTTTCAATTCACTACATCTTTTGATATTTTCTTCCTTTTACAAATGAAATTCCTTAGATTTTTACATTTAATTAATAATTACTTGATTTTGCACGTTCTTGCATTTACAAAACTTGTATAGTAATGTATATCTTGATCAGAGCAGTTTAACTATCCAAACACCACACATATGCAGTCGTAATTTATGTTCAGTTAGTGTACCACATGATAGTGAACAAAGAAATAGTGGAAATATACTACTCCAGTAACAAGAGGATTACCGATATGTGGTTTGTAGCCAGGAGAACTAGTCAAACAATCAAAAGTCACGCATCACTTTGGAATAGCCCTGTTATCATGTCAAGTTTATATTAGTTCTTTAAATGCTTTTAAACTAGTTGTCTGTCTACATCTGTAGCCTACCTCAGTTTACATTTGACGCTTCCTTTAATCTACTACAATTAAGTGGTAATGGACAAAGAGCTAGAATAGAGGTTTGTGTAACTGAACAAAGCAAATTTGGCTCACAAAAACAGAAAATGTACGCACAATAGAGACTTGATGGTAATAAGACTTTGGAGGAAATAAAGAAGTTTGAATTGTTATAAAGATAAACTTCAATCAAGGGTTCCATCAACAGAGCAACACTCACAGATGGGATCCAGGTAATTAAACTGGTATTAATGTTCATATTGGGATTTTGATTCCTATTTAATTTTAATGGTGATTTTTCCATCATGATTTAAAACTTTGATATTACACTAAACTATGACTGCATTATCTGATTTTCAACTACCACCTACATGAGGGAATAAATCATGTGAATATTGTTGGAATAAAACTAACAGTCAATTAGAGTTCGATACATATTAAGAAAAATTTACCTATATATTTCAAAAACTGTTAAACTAAAACAAATAATCACAAATAAAAAATTAGCTAAATAAAAATAATAAAAGTTTGCTAATGTTGAAACATCCTATGATTTATTTGATTAAATAAAAACTTAATGTTCCATTTTACCATACAAGCTTGTTATGCATAAATGCATTGGCTTAACAACTGGAAAACTTCCCCCACCAAATAAAATGTTTATAGCCCTTCTTTTGTCACTGCATCTTTTTGTAAAACTCTGATTAAAATTTCTGGTAAGATTCTATTGTAGGACAGTCTAAGTGATGTTTGGCCTCAATACATAGGTATATATCCCTCTAGAGCAAATTTCCTCTTGGAATGAATGTTCAGCATTACTCTGTATGTTTAGCATTGCTATTGTTGATAACCCCACTTCTACAAAGACAAAAAAGTATAAAAATTAAATTAATATGTCCAATTAAAAGTGAATCAGCTTCATAAATTCAATGTGTCAATCTAATTTTGTCAGAGTGGTTTTTTTAATTAACTAACTACCAATTTTTAAGTACTGTTGAAAATTCAACCTTAAGGGTTGTATACGATGTTTAGCTGCAAGATGTTTAGTTGTTCGTTTACTACTAAAGACAATAAACGTTTTCTGAATGTTTACGAGCATTAATTTAAAAATGGCATGTATCTCTTAGAAGTCAGATTAAAGTTGCCGTATACAAGCTCCTACAAGGCCTCTATAACTTAAAAGATTTACTGCAGTTACACAAAGTCGCTAACATAATTATGTACAAATCTATCGAGTATATGTTCACAATATTAGTTCTAATACACATTGAGCTTTTTTAAGTTCGCTTTCATTTAAAACTAATAACAAAATAACATGTGCAAAATCCAGTTGTCACTAGCGTAGCTAAGTATTAACCCTAATACCTTAAGATCAGCTAATTGTTTGTCAACAAATAACCTTACAAAATCTAAAATGTATACATGAAAAACAAACTGACTTTTTACAAATTCAGTATTGAAATGATGACATTGTTGACCATTAATTGACTTGTGACATTTTCAAGTGCTACGATGACAATGGTATATACAACATGAGAGTCACATAAGTTGGCATGAACATTATACATTTTATCATAGTTCCATAAACATCAGTAGGTTCAACACAATTAGAATAATGGAGACACAAGTGTACGCCTTGCAGATACAAAGTTTAATCATTTTCAAAATAATGCCTGTTATTATCCATAGATACAACAATTGGTTCTGGTAAAAACATTTTCCTTACAAGATGTAGAATCTTCGCAAAAATTAAGTACAAGCTCCAGCTTATTACAGTGGGCTTTTGCAAAAGCAAGCCAAGCAAAGTGTCCGATCGTTAAATTGTATATTTACTTTGACCAAAAATATCAACAATGGAGAAATTTACGGTTAGCATTATGTGTAAGGAATGGCAGGAACTCTCAAGTTTGTGTAATAAAGCACATTCTTCTCAATGCTGATGAGCTATATGAGTTCAAAATGATTTTCTACATGACTTATACAGAATTTCAGTGATACATCAAATGTTTGCCCTCATATCATTGAGCAGAATAGGGAGCTGATCACTGTGGTAAACTAACATTTATTGGTTACTAAAAATAGCACTCAGGGTATTAGATGAAGAATTATTGAATTCTACATAAATAATTATCAGCGTTACTAATTGATCAGCACTAAACTTTAAAAATTAACCAACAATCCTTAAAACAATTACTGTGTCAACATTTAAGTATGAAACTTTCAATAACAGAAGATTATAACAGTAGTATAAAGATAATGAGTTAACTAAGGTAAATATTTTGGCAGGACTAATCAAAGAAAAAAAAACAATGGTTTGACTCGTATAAATAAAAAGATAAATGTTGTAAAAATACAATGACACATTGTATGCAATAGGTTTTGCTCGGTACTAAACATAATCCTAAATAAAGGCTATATAAATATTCTTTGTCTCAGAATATAAGTTATGATATATAAACCTAACTTTATATTAATGTTTAGCAAATGAATTGTGTAAAATGTTGTGATTTGGTATGTGATATTTTTTTAATGCCATTCTTACGAAAAGATATAAAACTTTCAAAGCAGATTGTACCTTTTTCTTTCAGCTGACCATAGTGAAATTTTGACAGAACTCAATCCACATTTAACTATCCAATTACAGGAAAATAATTGTTCACAGAGTTTGACCAATCTCAAAACTACTTTTTGAGTCTTACAGAATAGTTTTGCATTTTTAACAAATTCAAAAAAGTTAACCTTGGTATCTATTGGATTGGCTGATAATTTGAAACATTGTACAAGCTAGGTATCTGTTTGTTATCTGAGTAGTTTCATACAAGTTAAATATAATAATATACATTGAATAGAATTATAAAAGTACCAGTAATTATATCATAAGAAATCAAATAAGTTTTATAGTTTTTTTTCTTTACGTCACTTCCTTAACAGCTTGTCACCATAAACTACTGATCAGTGTGGTAAAATAAAGACAAAATGAACTCGAGCCAGTGCATGAGGCATATCTCCAGCAATGACCGGCTTATTAACCCGAGACGCTAAGGGACGAGTTCCTAGCAAGCACCAAAATGTATACAATAGCTTTGCATATATGATGCAGACTTATAAAGAAAACTAAAGGCAAAGTAGAGGATATAAGTGATTCAATTGGTTCATAAGTAGTTTTGGTGGTTGGGTGAAAAGGGTTCCTGAAACCATTACAGGACGTGAAGTTTTTTTTTTTCTCGAGGGCAAACCTCTGGTGGCTGCTGTAAAAGAGGTTAACACAGGTTTTTAGCTAGAACCAGAGTTTAGGATGTGCGTATGAATAACTTTACCACTCCACTAAAAACTAAATATTTCCAGGTTAATGTTAGGAATAAAATTTAGTGGTTCCTTCTAGATACTTTTTGCTACTTCAAAATTTAAAAAAAAATCTGTGTGTGACACATTTTACTTTTATAGTAGGAACAGTTTTTTTTTCTAACCATTCAAATATTATTTGGCTCAAGCAAGTGTTTGTGCTGAAAACATGAATATTCATTTGGTATCTATTTGCAACTTATGAGATGGAAAAAATGCTTTAACCCCCCCCCCCCTTATTTTATAATGGATACCCTTACTATTTACTATGAAAACTGAAATGGGCATGTAATGGGGCTATTTTATACCATCTGAGAATTTAATTGATTGGTTTTAAATGTAATATTACCAAGAATATTGAAATTGCTTACTAACTGACTATACATAGCTTACTATTCATGATAAGTAAATTGATAAGGTTTTGAAACTTAAACTTAAAAACCATATATTCGTTCACTTTTTATGGCAAACTAAAACTTACAAAATTTCTAACTATTGAAAATTTAACTCACAATGGTACACAACTACTTATCTCAGCTGGTTTTTATAGGACATAAAACTAGGTACGACTATAATGGCATGATATTAAGCCTAATAGTCAAACAAGGTGAACAGTGTACATGAAGGGTGTTAGTAATGATCAGAGTTGTTAAAATAAAAGCCATATATACCATACTTATTGCAATGGTTTACTAGAAATTTGGAATCTATAACAAACATAATTGTTTTTGACAAATATTTAAAATTAAAAAATAAACACAGTAAAAATTATATATTAAACATTAATATATAATTCAACATTGTGTTAACCTAATAAATACAAAACAGCATAACAAAATTGACTATATAGTAGTATGTAAGGTAAATTACATTTCTACCTATACCGGTAAGTGCTGGGCTACATTTTAAATGTTCGTTTTGCATGAATATTTTGTTAAGATATTATTTGCCTAAGCAAAAATAAAAAATATTAAAAACTAGACATTGGTTGGGTAATAGATACATTAAATGAAGAGAAAACAAGTTCTTCATTCAGTGTTTAAGATATTCAAGTACGCTCTGGTGAGATAATTCTTTTGAAAAAAATCTACATGCAAAACAAAATATATTTTTTCAAGTTTCTAGTAACAAAAAACTCTGAGAGTGCAGAGGAAAAGTTTTTAGTGGAATTGCTTTGACTAATAACATCTGAAATCAAAGTCCATTCCGGAAGAGGATTGACTCTAATCATTCACACTCATTGAACCGTAGCCAGATTTAACATAAATATAGGTTTATGCCACATCTTACCCTACTTTACTAACTTTATACAATATATAACTATATAAAACTTTGTTTATGTAGCACAACACAAAATTGGTACGATAAAATAATCTTTATAGCACCAGTATTTGTATAAAACGTCAGCGTCCTATGGCACATTCTCTGGCCAGACCCTCAAGCTTAGGCACAACTTTCCTTTCCTAGCTCCTCGCTTTAGACCTAACAACCTCATACAAAAAAGAAGACTTATAAAAGATTATAAGGATTGAATAACAATAAAGCTATATTGAAATCTTTGTTCTGTTTACATGTTGTATATGTTGATTAAATGTTGATAAAACTAAAATTCTCAATTATGACAAATTGGTTCAAAAACAATGTTTTGGTTTTGTTGAGGATTTTTACTAATTGGTTGTGAGTTTTATTTGGGATATTTTCAATCTACTCTAACCCACATATAATTAATCTTTTGGTTTTTTATGAATGTGCTTTTCGTTTCTAAGATGGTACTAGTCTTACAAAAGCATTCAGATGAATTGAGCCAACCCGTGGTTTGCATGTGATGTGCTATGGGCCCGAGAGATATTGGTACCAGCAAACCCAATAGTCATATTTTAGTTTTTATGTTAATAATATTTGAATTTAAATTTTTTAGTAATGTGGATAAGTACATAAATCGTAAAAAATACAATAGTTTATGCTAAAAACCATTAAAAAATTTGAATTTTTATACCTATTTAAAATAACCTTCACACCAAACTTTTTCTGTGGTGATAAATAAATATTTACGTTCAATGTTAATACATTTTTTTGTATTAAATTAAATATTTATAATGAATAAATAATACCTGAAAATTTTTATTGTTCTGTACCACAATAACAATTAAATAGCATTTATTCATCATATTTCTATTCAGTGGCGTACCGAAGGGGGGGGGGGGGGAGCGGTCTGCCCCAGGCCCCACACTTATATTCTCACGATTGCCGTAAGCGTCTACAAAGATTGAGTGATCGAAAACCAAAGACTCACAGCGATTGCGGGTGATGATAATCAGATCTCGAAACCTCGAATGATGTTCACGATTGCTCCAAGAACATAGAGACATTCATGATTTTGCTGGGATATTGGAAAACGAAGATGATGTCCTAGTAATAGACGGTAATGTCCTATCCATGGCGCAAGATTTTCATTATTTCACTTCTCCGTGGACTTAGAATACGTTCACGATTCCTTTACGATCGCAGAAGTTCCCACAATTTTACCTTCACCACGACCGCAGGGGACTCAACTACAAATGTTTCGAACCAAAGGCTGATTTTGTTAATTTTCTATTCAGTTTCGTGTTCACAATTTCACCGTGAACACACTAACTTAACTTAACTTTATCATCCCCCGCGATGTTATTGATTTCATCTTAAAGGCAGGGGACGTAGAATACATCCCCGAGACCACGAAAGATGTTCACTATATCTCTGTGAATGTAGGGGATGTTTATGATTGCTCCAGGATCTCGAAAGATAACCCGCGCAACCGCTGGAGATGAAGCTAACAGTTTTGTCGTTACCGAGGGCAATATCAATCATTTTTGCCGCGATTGCAGAAGTCGTTTGGACCAATTATGGTACAAAATATAATGTTTAATTTAGATATAATAATACCGTACTTTACACAAAGAAAATATCTCCTAAATAAAAAAAAAATTAAAAGGAGTGACAATAAAAAAAACCTTATTTGGCCTAGATAAGACAAAACAAATTGTGTTATTTATTGGAGTGCACGTGCTCATTACTAATCCCCAGCTCACAAAAACATAAAATGTAAAAAGCTTAAAGGAAAATTTAATTCACCATTATTAAATTATTCTTAAATCAATAAAAAAAATAGATTACATTTAAAATAGTTGACGTAGCCTACATAAACCTATAAGATCATTCAATCAGTGATACCAAATACATTAAAAGCACATATACCTATATAAAGTTCTGTTCACTGTTAGGGTTAAATTTTTAATAAATAGGTAAAATAATAAATAATACCATAGTACCTTCTTTAAAATAATTTTAAACATGGTGCTATGGTATTTATTATTTCACGTATATGTATGCATGTATGTAAAAAGGGCTCTCTCATCTGAACCGCCCCAGGTCCCCAACTATGACAGTACGCCACAGTTTCTGTTAGTAGGGGTCAGGTCTTTATAGAAGGAAACTTAACACATTAATGCAGCGAAAACATTAAGCTTTGCAGAGAATTCAACAGTAAGAAGTCAAGGAAAGATATAACATAATCAAAACATGATAAGAGTATGGAAATGCATTTCAAAACTGAGGTTGTGCGAGGGAGCTGGAAAAGAAAAATGCTGTACCTTAACCTAATGCAGGGAACCTGCTTATCTACTTGAGCTACGACTGACTTACCTACGGAGCTGATGACTAGCAACTGTCAACAAATATCAATAACAACTACAACCTCTAGAACACAATTTTGATTCATAATCGACTTTTATTGCATGATTTACTGAGGTTTAAGATTTCGTTCCTTTGTAAGGAAAATAGCATCGATAAAGCCCGGTTTATAAGTAATGACTTTGTCAAAAGATATTGTTCAGATTATAAGAACATCTTTTGAATTCTAAGATTAATGGTGAAACCGAATTTTCTAACAAACTGAAACACACTTAACTCTTTGGTAACAAAACGATTAACACAAGCGATCCTTTTTGAGGCATCGATTAGACTAAATAAACAATCTAAGCCACAACAGTGGCAAACAGAACTATGTCATCACAGACAACTGAACTACCATGTTATAGAACCGGTTATACCAAAAAAATCCCGACAACTTTAACCTTATTAGACAGACTTTTTACAAGATTAAACGATATATTTTCAACATCGGTACGTTATTGGTAAATAACAAACTATTATTCGAGAATGATTAAAATTCTTCCATCGCTAATGTCAAACTAAAAAAAATATATAATGTATATAAATTTATTTACAATAGATTTAAAATGTAAGATTAAAAGAAATCACTACACCGAAACAAAAATAATGTGGTATTATGAAATCGGTGAAAACTCAAACTAGAAACGTATCACATTCTGGTTAGATCAAATAAAAAGAACCCGAGTGAGTGTTCAGTCTACGAGCTGTGGTGAACACAGATTGGAGAGAGCAAACGTGATTCCCTCTAAGAAACAAAATCAAAAAATTATTATTTGAGACAACGTAAAAAACACTATTTTAATTTTTTTCTTAAACAGATAAACGTCTATCCATCTCGTAGCGCAACGCATTTTATAATCTCGTTTAGAACATTTAACTAATCTCTTTGACAAAATAACTAAAAATAAATTACTATAGTTACATACAAGTAATTACATTCACATGAGAACAACAATTTGTACTAAATAAAATTTACACAAAAATAAAGAGGAGGCAAGGTATCTCCTGGGGAATCACCTAAGTCCAGAATTCAGGGCTTACAACCTCCGATGATAATGTTTGTGCTCATAGCCCTGTCTGGTGATTGAGCATGACAAAACTTAGACTTATGACGACTGTGACTTAGGAGTGGAGGGTGGAAGCTGCGGAGGTGTCCGTGAGGGTGATGTGGAACCATTGGATCCTGGCCCTCCCAGCGACTGACTGGTGTCCATACCCTCACTGTTGTGAACCACTGTATTGAAATAACGTTCTGAAACAATTTACAGGTTAGATAGTACAATCAAAGTAAATGTGCAAAACTGCAGTTATATTCTGATTTAAGATTGCAAACCAGGGCTTTAATGTCAGTACTTTTGCTGTTAACGATTTAGTTTTATAGGATTTAATTGATGCCAAATAAAAAAGTATTTCTTACCAAAGTAATGATTGGCACCAACTGCTGGGTAGATGTCACACAAGCATTAAACATTCATAAAAACCTTGAAAGCATGATAAAAATCTACTTAATTTGTTCTTCAGTTGTTTACATCTCCTCCTTCCTTTGTTTATATTCTCAATTGACGATATCTCCTGTGATATAGGCTAAGTTTTACATGTGTTACACAAGGTCCACTGTGATAATGTTTATGACTCTTGTTAAGTTTTCTTTTTTTTGTTTTATATAGCTTTGACAATGACTATTGCACAACTGTGTCTAATGACAATAAAGGATTCTTATTCTTATAATAAGATTAGAAATAATAAAACCGTCCTGTGATTTTTTCCCACACAGTATAAATCTTACAGTCAACTATACTTTAGCAGTACGTATTTCACCGATAAATTAGTTCGCATACTCTCTTAATTCTTGAATATAATAAACAGTTCTCTAGCTTCAACAGAGTCTAATAATGAAAACCAATATCTGGGTTTTAGTTTGAGCAGTAAAGTTAATATTTGATGTGATTACGTTTATTTCCTGAGAAATAAGTATGGCCATAGCAAATAACTCCTCATAATTCTTTTGACTACATTATCAAGATAAGTTTTCATTTGAAGCCATTTTGGTTTGATCTGAGATACAAATTGAGACTCATCAACTTACCGTCGTCCATCAGGGTAGCATTGGAATCCGGGTTGGTCCCAGATATTAGAGGAGTCATCATATAATCCTCCTCGAGGTTGATAAAGTTAGGGGGCCCAGGAGGGGGGGCAGAGGGGGCCGGAGGGCCTGGGGACGTCCAACGGGGTAGGCTGGGGGGCACATGTCGTGAGGAAGTGCGGGGGGCACTGCTCACAGTCACCGGGGATGAGAAGAGAGAGAGGTTGGTCGGACTGATCACTCCGGACATGGCACTCACGGGACTGATGTTGGGATAAGTGAACAGCTGTAACAGAGAAAAGCATAGATAATATTGACAACAGTTATACATACAAGCAGTTATGAGTGCCAGAACAGAAGGTAGCATTGTAATAACTGATACCCAACAGATATTTAATACGTTTCATAAGTATTTTTTAAGTGTTAAAGAACATGTGTATGCGTTCCCATATAACGATTTATTCAGAAAAAAAATAACAAAGAACTCGTATGTTTTTATATCCAGAGTTACCAGATAAGATATTAAATGTAACAAATTCTTTAAAAAACTGTTCATCCCAAGTTGTTGATGGTTTTAGCTCTTTACTAACTAAAAAGGTACTGTACACTTGAAAATATAGAATGTGATTATATACTTAATAAACCGACACCTTCCTAGACAGGCTAAAGGAGGCAGTAGTCATTCCTGTCCACAAGACAGGTAGCAAAAGCTGCTATAACAATATCGATTAATATCTTTGCTGCCTGTGTTCGCTAAGGTAATTGAGACACTAATGAAGGAACAACTCATAACAAATCTTGATACATCTAACTTTTTTAGCACTAACCAATGTGCTAACCAATGCGCGATTGCAGGTGACTTTAATGATGTCTCCGTTATTGTGGCCCGCGGGAGATGTTCAATATTTCATCACGGTTGTGGGTGTCGTTGATAATGTTACCGTGATTGCGGTCCGCGGGAGATGTTCAATATTTCACCAAGGTTGCGGGTGTCGATGATAATGTTACCGACACGATGGTGATGTTAATGTTGCGTGGGGCTGCGGGATTGCGGCCCGTGGGAGATGTTCACGATCTCGCCACGGTCGCGAGTGTTGAAGATGATGTCCCTGTGATTGTGGCCCGCGGGAGATTTTTATGACTTCACTACGGCCGCAGGTGAAAATGATGATGTCCTCATTATCGCAGTCCACGGGAGATTATTTTACACGATTTGGCCACGGTCGCGAGTGTCGATGATGATGTCCCCTTGATTGTGGCCCGCGGGAGATGTTCATGATTTCGCCGCTGTCACGAGTGTCGATGATGATGTCCGTGATTGTGGCTCGTGGGAGATTTTTACGATTTTGCCACGGTCACGAGTGTCGATGATGATGTCCCCGTGATTGCGGATGGTGGGATGTGTACACGATTTCACTGCTGTCGCGGGTGACAGTGATGATGTCCTCAAGGTTTACGTTTACAGCTCACGGGATATGATAACGATTTCGCAGCGATCACGAGTGTCAAAGATGATGCATCTTTGTTGCAGCCCGCGGGGAATGTTCATGATTTTGCCGTGGTCACGGATACCTATGATGGCTTTAACATGATTTAGGAGAGATGCCCACGATTTCATCCACGATCACGGGTGTCAATGATTATGTCCCCTTGATGCATAGGAGATATTCTCGATTACTTCTGCAATTGCAAGGAATTTCCACCACAGGGGTAGGGCCCGCTCAAGTAATTTGGCCTAGGGCTACAAGTACCCTAAATCTGGCACTGTATAGCTCAAGAGGTTTGTAGCAGCAAAAATGCTTAAAAATTTGTCCAAAAGAGTCTTAGGTCATAATCTTCAAACCACATAGGAGGGAGAAAGGCGGAGTGCAATAGCACATTTTGGTTTGATCTGACATACAAATTGAGACTCATCAACTTACTGTCGTCCATCAGGGTAGCATTGGAATCCGGGTTGGTCCCAGATATTAGAGGAGTCATCATATAATCCAATCATCCTAATAGTTCCTAGTGGACTTTCATTGAATGACAATAAAGTTGGATAATTTTAGAGATATAACAGAAATATATAAAACCTCAGCTAAAGTACAAAGACTTTTTCTTGAGCAGAAAATCAATGAACAATCGGACAATGATGAGCTTAAATTAAATGGGACAGCTTGCATTAAAGTTGTTGCAGGAAACGTGGTTGTAAAAATCTAAAAACAAACTACTTTGAAAAAAGTAGTGCTACACAAACAAAGGTAATACGAGTATTTTGTAGTACTCGTATTTTTTTTTAGTAGCAAGACTCCACTGTAAGGGAAGTGTAGTGCACTACTCCCCAAACACTAGAGATGTTGTGGTAGAACTTCATGCTTGAAGGGTATGTGTAGCCTATGAAGCACGAAGTAGTGGCTATAGTGTGGTTGTGTTATTATGTGGTGACTGAGCCAAAGGCTACCAATATCCTATAATACAACGTACAATTAAAGTTTCAGGGTCAGTAAGGCCTTGAAGAGGGTAAATTTTACAACGTACGGTTGATTTTTGTTAACAAATGTACTTGTCTAGATAAGGTAAAAAATATTTTGCATTTTGCTACAAGTTATAAATTTATTTTTCAACAGATCAACTACACACTTTCAACCAAACAAGACAACAAAAACACTCGGTTATAGTGTTAGCGAAAACATTAGAAGACAAGGAAAGGATTTTGGAATGCAATGTAATTAAAGACAATACATCGGAGTTTTGTTAGAAGAAACCTTGTCAAACAGTTAGTGATGTTATGAAACCAAACCAGAAATAAGTAAAAGCATCTAAAGCGAGTTGTTTTGCGGAAGGAGGTTCAAAAGTATAACTTCATGCAATAGATTGAAAGGAATCTCACCTGACCAGGCTGGGTGTGAATATGAGAGAATGGTACAGGGTATTCTCTGGATACTGTGAAGGGGCTGGTGACCACAGTGCGGCCAGGGGGAAGTTGAACATCCACTTGAGATGAGGGGGGTGAGCCCCGGTCTGGGGAGGAATCTGAGACTGGTGGGGTTATAGACGGAGGGGGCGAACTAGCAGTGGTCACTGTCAAGTCACCTGGAACCATACAACTTACTGTCAGACCGAAGGGTGACCCATGCCAGTGCCAACAGTAACAAGGAAAGGAAGGAGAGGTGAGTGGTTGAAGCCTAGTAAGAGATCTAAAGTAGTGACAACAGTTTTAGCAGTTCAAGACAAGTCTTCAACTCAAATGGCCGTCAATAAGAATAATACTTCCTGAACAACCAGAGAAACTTCAGAGTACCTATGAATATGATTCAACATGGAAAGAATATCTGAAATAATGAGATGTACCTTGAAAGTTCTCTAAAATACCACATAATCTTTTATTTAAAAAAAAGTTCTTTTTTGGTTAAGGACTATAACCTTACAATTTTACGATAGTAAATTAATTGCAGTCTTCCTATTACACCTTGTTGTCAGGTTTAATTGATCTAAATTTCCCTATAAACCAAACAGTAAATCAATTTGAAAAGAGTAGGTCACAATTTATATGATCCCATACACACCAGCTGATTTCAATAGGCAAACACCATACTTCTTGTTTTGGTAAAAACGGCTCTTGACAAAGAAAGGAACTGTGTATAAATTAGACACCAGTTTAGCCAATAACAAATAAATACATTTCAAATTTGTTTTTTATTTGAAATGATTCCATTAAGTGTTACGCTCATAATTTTGAATTTGATAAAAAAAAGCATAATGGGGTAGAATCTAGAATGCAATTATTTGGTTTGAATTTCGTTGTTGGAGTGTGGTCCCCGCAGTAACATGAATGATCCGGGATCTGTCTCCACTTACCACTTATACTTCCAGGAAGTCTGCTACTTACAAGGGAGCTGGTGAGATGACTGTTTTGATGTGGAAATCAAGATATTATTCCTGCATAGTATCAGTTTCCCACAAATTGCTATAGATGTATTAAGCGAGAATTCATTCTTCATTAATTGACAAGCATTCTACAAAAGTATATGTCCAAACTTTAGATAGTTTCCAATAGAAGTTTCTGCAAGAAGTAAGCCTTGGGCAGACAGGATTTTTGCATATTTCCATTATGAAGTGTCTTTTGACAAATGATCCAAGAAAGAGAACTATGACTCAGAAATGTATACCGAGTGAGAGGTGGAACCATTAGGGGATTTTTCTAAATACCCTGTTTCACTTAACATCAACACTATTACTTTGCACACTATTTAGCCAGATGGAAGCATAATGTACGGCTGCAGAGAAGTTCAGGGATAAGGCTGATGTAAGCAGAGCTTGTCTGTTGGTTCTCCCGGATAAACCACAAAATAGTGTCCTATATTAGCCCGATATCATATTTTCTGGATAGTTTTCTCTTGTTGGCTCTAAAATATCACATGCAATGATTTGAAGAGAGACTGTTCGTTGTGACTCAATTGAACCCATAATCTAGTAAACAAGTCTGCTATTTAGACCGTTGCGGAATAATTCAGTTTAAGATGGATTGTGTTATGCTTCAATTTATAAAAGTAAGTCTCTTCTCCTTGGATGGGGGGTGAGCCATTTCAGAGATTATTTGTGTTTTTGTGATACACAGAAAATAAAAACAAAATGTCAACAGCAATCATGCGTACACCTCGAAACGGTGGCCTATTGCCATCAACAAGTGCTGGCTAGGTTGTTAACACCATTAATCTACCAGCTCCCTTACTTACATTATTAATTGCCCTTATTAACATCAAAGCAATACTAAAACCCAAAAGCATTAATTTACATTTTTCCATTGCTGCTGAAGAGAAACATTTCATTATACAGATTCAATCTCAATTCTCGTTCATTATAGTTATAATAACTATCATATTAAGTGAATAGGTGAATATTAAAGTTTAAGTAACTATGGTGGGTTGGTAGTGCCTTGGAACTATAGCTGCATGTTGTGTGGTTAGTATCACAGAGCTGTCATAAACAATACATTACATTCAACAGTGAAGTCCTTAACCCTTGAGGAAGAAAAATGATTACCAATCTTTGATCAGCTCAAATGTTTACATTTAGACTTTAGGACACTTCAAAACTAAGGCTGCATCATAAGATAGTGGATGTGAAGTTCAGCTGAGGGCTAAGACGATAATTACACAAAACACATAGAAACATAACCCACATAAAAACATTAAATAAATACATATATTTTCCCGATTCCTTCACGATTCTAAACAAAACTCATTAAAAACCATTAGTGGAACTACAAGAAAGCTACCAAATTTAGAAACATGAATAAGGATTTAAGATTCTCCTAAATAAAAAATATGACAACCTAGACCAGCTCTACAATTATGGTATAAAATTAATGTATGACATTAAAAATTACAAAACTGAAAACACGGCTAAAAACCGGCAACATTACAGAGATCAAAGAACCCGCCCAGGGCCGGTTCTAGAATTTGTTCTAGTGTAAGGAAATTTTGATTCTGGCGCCCCCACCCCCTAAAAAAACGTATGTGGCATTAAGGATACATTTAAAAATACAACTAAATATAAATTTTTAAGGACATCCCACAAATACTAGAACAGAAACTGGTATGGATCATAAACACAAACAATTGATGTAACTTGCCTGAATCATTACAACAGTATTTACTATTACTATTATATATTTTCTTTTTCAAGACATTACGAGTAACAAATTTAAACCATTGAAAGATCCCAAACTAGAGATGGGCGTTATTTAACATAACAGTGTTGCGGCCGCGGCAACGTTATCGCGTCTGTTAACGTATCTATCTTCATCATGTTGCAGGAAAGCCGCGCGGACAATGAAAACGAAAACATGCATTGCCATTAGTGCCGTTGCCGAAACGCTACTAGAGCAACGATAACTTCGGAAACAAACTAGAATTAGAATAACAAATCCTGACTGGACAACGCCCGACTCTCAACTACAACTGAAAACTGAACTGATCAACCGACAACAATAACTGAACGCCGCAACACCGACCGGCAGACAACGGTTTTTAGCGGCAACGAGTTCGCAATCGTTAACAGGTTATAACAGGTTGCCGCAACACGTTATTGGGCAGCTGCGTTATCGTTACAACCGTTGGTGCTAACTACTCAATAGGAACAATAGATGACAATTTGGAAATACATTTGTAACAAAGGGAGGAAAATGGACACATTTTAGAAGTTTGAAATTTACAAAATATTTTAGGAGCACAGAAATAGGACAAGTCATATTCAATGAATAGCTCAATTTTAACTCCCAATCAGTTTTCAAAGCTCTAATTGACAAAGACACACCTTTCCACTGCGTAACTGATAACAGTGATGGACCAAAATGACAAAATGGCCAGTCTATCTCCAACCTGCGCCGTTTTTATTGACGAAGCCCAGGGCTGAGCTTCCCATACATTACCTGATGATGCCATTATTGTGGTAAAACTTGTGGCAATACTATATAACCTCCACCTGCTATCATTTTAGCTGATCAACAGTTGGTATGGTAAGTGATATTCCTTTCATTACCCTTGTATTCAGTAACCCTTGTATTGGCTTAGACCTATATTGTCAGGCAAAATACAAGTTTAATTAAGGTCAACCTACTTTATAAAAAAAAAATGATTTGACTTACTGGAATTTATGGATTTCAACTGTTTTCTTTAATAAAATTAGACTCCTTGAGTTCAAAACAGAACAAAACATAAGATAATTTGAAATAAAAACTTCACCAATATTTCTGAAGTTTTTAGTTCAAATTTATATTAACTCCAATATTACCAGTTCTTCTTGAAGATAAAACATATGATGTATACACCACCAAGAATTACATGAATTAAAATCATCGGAAGGTATTAATGATGTTTTGTAATTACCTGTAGACCTGATAATAGCGACGGGCCTTGCCATGGGTGGCGGAGGAGGTGGAGGCAGCATGGAGCTGGGGTAGTACTGAGCCAGTTTCGATGGGCTTCTGGAAGGACCAGCCTAGAGGGAAAATTATATCATAGTAATAATATTGAATCAAGAGAAATACATAGAGGGAAATGTTTTAAGGTAGAATATCTGCGTAAGAGATTGAGGGTGGTAAACATTTGTACGACGGTGTATGGCAGGTGCGGTCTTTCATTGGTCTTGTTAGAAACAGTGACGCAAGGTGATTATGCAGTGTGACTGAACGAGAAAGATTGTCGAACTGATAGGGGACGTCTCAATAAGATTATGAAGGACTATAGAAAGCCCTAAAAGGTCTTAAACACACTGATCAGCAAGAAAAGTTTCTTCAAATTCAATCACTGTCTTGATAAAAAATTTATGAACACCAGTTGCTGGCCTTGTACAAATGTGCACAGCCTCTTGTGACGAGCTCTCTCTGTCAGTTATATATATTTTTCTAAGTCAAAACAATTTTTGTGGTTATTGAGAAGCTACTTTTAATATAGCTTCTAAAATACCGATTGAAGTTGAATATGGTGTTAATTTCTGCATAATTGCAACCTATAACTGAAACATCAACTGGTTTCGGCACAAAAGTGCGGTGTTATCCTCAGACTGTACTAGAACATATCTTGTTAGTGATTTACTGAAGAGTATTACTTTTCAAAAAATACCGTAAAACTAGAATAAAGTATACATAAACAAAAATACAATACAAAACATGGTATACTCAATACCAGCCGACTTTTAAATCCTGACAGAAGTCAAGACTAGACTTATTATTTGCACAAGCTTGAAGTTGCAAAGGACTTAATAGTTTCATAATTACCTGGGTAGCCGAGGGGTTATAAAGATCACATTTAAATCTAGTTACTAGTTTGATTCTAAGCTAAACCAATTCTGACAATGTCTAAAGGATCGATGTTAGATGGTACCAAGTAACAAGACTAGGGTTTGGCCTATACCATTACATAAAGTATAAAAAGTTGACAATGGACAAAAAAAATAATAACACATAAAAACTAAGTTTTCTCATTTTTTTTCTTGGGATGGTAATGTATTGATGTTGTAAATACCTGTGAGCCTTGCTGTGTATTTTCTGCCTCTTGACATACAAACGTCACAAAGTCTGAGAGGGTGTCATGTCCATTCTCCGGGTACTTGGCAGGACTGTGTTGCTGAGGTTGGTCACCCTGTTGATAGTAGCTGGAAGTAGCCAGAGATGCCACACTACTGTGCTGTGGTGGCAGGCCTGCTGACACACCAAACTTACACTCATATCTTCAGCCAATTGCAGTGTGAATTTCCAAACGAGTTGGATTATTAAGTAAAGCGTAATGTAACTGTCACCTTTTTGCATTCACAACTTATTTCACCATTGTAAATACAGAATTCTTATATCAAATAAAGATATAAGTATTTCAGAATGGTATTTTTAACAGACTAAAGTGCCACACTGCTACAAACTTATACCGACTGAGCACAGATGTTTATAATGTCTAAATTAAGTATTTCGAGGGTTACAGCTACGTTGACAACAAAGTTAAGCAGTAAGGGGAGCACTGTGCAGTTCACCAATAGTATTGAGGACGAATCGTACAGGATCATTTTTGGTGATCAGTGGAGTTATAGCAATTCCCTTGCTAGAACCCAAGAGTTCTTTTTCATATCCAATATTCTAATAATATTAGGTAAATGATCCCAACGCCAAATCATTGGAAAGAGAAGACATAGGGAAAAATAGGTAATTTCCCCCTGTTTAATGCTGCCCATTTAAAATGTTTATGTATACATATAGGAGGATAATATCCTAAACATTATATACATTAACATTATTATACATACATTTTTGTTATAACATTAATATCAAAAAATATCTTAGATTAACAAGACGTGTGATGATGTTGAAAGATAAAATACTTATCAGAGGAACGGATTAAGAATTGAGTAGTTGTAATCGGTGTTCAATTTAAAAAAATGAGGTGCCGGAACTGTAACCTATTTTATGTGATTTGTACCTCTTTATGCAATTTGTTTGTGTTCCGCTGCGTTCTCCCGCAAATTGAGCGTTGGTTATATGCAGAAAACTCAAAATTTTCTTATAGCTAAAGACTTTAAATACCATCAAGTGAACTATACAATTTATCCCTCAAGTAATGTTAAATATGAGTTAGAACAGGCATGATTTTAACAAACAACATTAGTTTGTTGTTTATAGCACATATTTTGAAGAAATCCGTGACACAGAAGTTTGAGGGTGCCTTCCATAAGGTTAGAGGCATGTAACTGGATTATGACCTTGTGTCAGTTGTATTATTTGAGTTTTACCTCAATCAATAATTTCCATAGTGTCAAATTTCTGGATATTATTGTTAAAGGCCAAATTATTGTCTTGAAAACTACGCTTAATCAAAATACTTAAAAATATCAGCTGGGGAAGTCCAGGGTATTGTGAAGAAGATATTTTTAGTATAATGTGAATTTTCTTAAATAGCAAAACAATATTTTAAAACTGAATGTATTTTTATCAAAGTTATTTTGATGCTTGCTGGATTTACTAAGAAATTGGGTACAAACTAAGAACCAAGCATACCATTACCATTACCAAATCCTTGAATGTAGCCCATCATATATATATATTCATATATATATATTTTTTCACATTCATATATTTAACACTATGTACATTTGAAGTTAAGTTAATAAAATAAAGTAACTTTTTCTGTTTCCAAGGCTGCAAGGAGCTCTCATAAGTCAGTGAAGGATTTAATAAAATATTCTTTTCTTTGACAGAGTAAGGGCTATATATATTTATTTCCTTAGCCATATCCCGACTCTTGGTTTAAACTGCCTAATAAGAAGGATCTTGACTGATAGAGGCAGAGCATTAAACATCTTGAGGGCAAGCGCTGGGTTGCTATCTTTTGTCAAACTTGCAATATCCAGGATATGTCACGAATGTAGTTATGAAATTTATATTAAACCACCTGATAATACAAAGGTATTATCTCCCTAAGAAGTGCATGGGTTGGTAGACCTGGTCTCTTGTTTTATAGCTTTCAAGATTCTCTCTAACCAGCAACAGAAAATTCTAAACAAACTGACCATAAACAGTAAGTATGCCAAGTTCAGCAAACAGAGGTCTATAGTGTCCTCTAGAGTCACTGGATGTTAATATTCTTACTGCAATCTCCTGATGCAATATAAATCTACGGCAACCGGATAAATGTCCCCAGAGCACAATACCATATGTAAGATGACTGTGGAATAGAGAGTACTGGTAGTATGCGACTAGCAAGTGCGGTGGTGTTACCAAATATTTAAGTTTCTGAAGGAGATGGTCTACTTTTACTTCATGCACACTACGTTCACATAGTTGACCAAGATACTTTACTGACTTTACTGTCTATTGTCTATATGTAGTACCATCGACTACCTATATAGTCAATGGTAGTACTATAGTCCTCTAAGGCGGTCGACACACGGGAAGACTGAAACCCAACTAAAGTTGAACCAACTTTTTTGTGACGAGATTAGGATTGCAGTTGCGTTGGTTAAATCCGCACACGGGCGCGACTGTAGTTGAGTTGAGACAGTAAATGAGTTCTAATTTGGTTATAACGATACTGTGTACTGTGTATGGTGTTTGAAATGAGAGGTAGTGATTAAGAAGCCCTGGTGTTTTATAGACAATCAAGAACGTAGAAGGTATTGAGTACATCATTAATATGTTAAAACAATTCTTAAATGTAGGCTCTTTGTAGCTGCCGCTGCATTAAAAGAAACAGACGCAAAATTTCAGTCTATGAACAGGATGTCAAAAAGTACTTACGAAGAGTTATCACAGTTGGTATGCCCGATCCTTGAAAAGCGCAATACAAATATGCGAAAAGTTGTTCAAACCAGGCGACTGAAATCACCTAGCAGCCGGCAGGTCCGGTTGCTTAACGACTGATCGCCGACAGGTCCTCAACTGGTTGCATCGCAGTCGCACCGTGTGTACTGTCTCACCTAACTACATTGGTTGGGACGCTGGCGACTAGTTTGTCCAACTAGTTGCCGATTTCAGTTGGAAAACAGTCTTCCCGTGTGTCGACAGCCTAAGTTTGGCAAATAAGTCTTCTCTAACTCTGCATCCTGCATCTCTTGAAGCTGCAAATAAAGGTTTGTTTCTTATCTGCAATTAGCTGTAGCTTGTTACATTAAAGCCAACTTCTAGTTTCCCTAGGTCATTTGCTGCCCTAACAACCAACTCATCGACATTCCTGCACCTGGTAATTACAGTGGTGTTACAAATAATGTAACTAAACTAAATTTGCCCTCCAACACTGAACATTTAGGCTAGCCACTCTAAGATCTCATAGCATTGAGGATATGTTGCGAGGTTACGGTCTTTTTAAGTTTTGATTCACTCTCTTGCCTACAAAATAATCTCTATTTTGGTAGCGTTTTGTTGAATAAAGGTTTGTAGTCAATTTCTAAATACCAGAGTAGACCACATTTCTGAATTCAAGACATTTTCCTTATCTTCACAGTTGACAGCAATTTTACATTATTTATAGCCTGGGAATTTTGTTTTTTCTTCCTCAAAGTGAACTTCACTGTTCTCCGTCAGATGTTCCTTTATGATATGGTTTGTGTCTCCAAGTCTTAGTAACAAACAACTGACACTTTTTGAGGCTGTTCCAGTTTTCAGTATGTTTTCCCAGTTCTAATGGTACATTTATTTTGCATTATATTTAAGTTTTTCACTCTTTCAGTGTTACATACATTGTCTTTTTCATCATGAATATTGGTCATATTCTTTGCAACAATTTTCATATTAACCTTAAAACTATTGTTGAGGACCTAGGCCTAGCTTGACTACTTCTTGAAGGCTAACCTTTGTTTGGTCACATCACCTGTTTGAGTTAAAACCAGGGCCGCGTTAAGGGTCAGTGGAGCCCTGGGCAAACTCAAGAGAATCGCCCCCCTTTTCTCCTAGTGCGGGCAGGTGGTAGTTGGATGCCAGGCGTCCCTCAACCACCGGCACCCCTGAGCATATGCCCAGTATGCCCGTTTGTTAAAACGGGCCTGGTTAAAACAATGCATTACGTACCCATCCCACATAGCACAGAATATTTATTTGATATCAAATAAACGTTCAATATATCAAACTATGTCAAATCAAAAATTTGATATTTATTTGATATTCATTTAATGTTCAAAATGTCAAAGTCAAACAATGTCAAACTTTGAATATTTATTGTATCTTCAAAATATCAAAGTCAAATAACATCAAATTTAGAATATTATCTAAATATTCTTAATGTTAAAAATTTGATTTTCTCTTTGAAAATTTCCAAATATACTAGTTTTAAAAATTTTTAGATTTAACTTTTTAAATTTTTTAGAGTAAAGAATTACTCCCCAGCCTACAGGGGCCCATTTCATAATAAACTTTGTTATTTCCATTAGATTTGCATTGGGCAATCAGCTGATTTACTAATAATATTAGTTTGTACTTTATTATGAAATGGGCCCCAGTTTGTAACATGGAGGTCGGAGGTCAATTATCTGTATCACTGTAATTTTTAATTAATTGATGATGGATTTTGACTTTTCGCGGGGGGGGGGGGGGAGTTGTTGGAACATCTGATATTTTTCTGAATCTAGGCTTACTACACATTTCAAGAAAAGTGAATAGGAAACACAGCTTTTTTAAAAGTTTTGTTTATTAATTAAAAAGTCAAACTCTTAACGATTGGCCTTATCATTTTATTTTTACTAGTAAATTAAACCAAACGTAAATTTAAATTTTTTTAAGTGTAATATAACTCTAAAAATATTTTAAGTATCTAGTTTGAGCTTGACTTGGCCCATTCGTATGAAAGGAAGAGAGGAAGACTGAAGACAAAACACCTACTTAATTCTAACCTAACTCAGCAAACAAAACAAAACATTACAATACAAAACAAATTACAAATACAAAATCCGTCGCGCGACCAGTGGTGGCCAGTTTACTCACGGTGTGGATTTATTTTAACCAACAAATTGCCCATTTTGAGGGAAAGTACACGATTTATGAAAAATGTACCTATGACAACTAACTTGTTGAGTAGGCTACACAAGTAGTGAAAATAAACTATGGAAGCAACAAGAGTATCAAGATTCAAGAACAAGAACAAGACATAACCTCAAATCAGTTAACTTAAGTGTGCTGATATTTTGTTTAGTGTGTGTCACTGTTAGTTTAGAGTTGTTATTTTTGTGACTGGGTATTGGCATAACCTACACCGAACATCTTTTCACGTTTTGATCCTTGGAGTATGTAAGTATAAGTCACTATACCTAGTAACATAGACGTATTTTAGGCCTTGGCCTTACCTAGACCTAAGTTAAGCTACTGTACAAATTAAATTGGCCAACTTATCATTCCTAATGCCTTAACTTAAGTATAAATAGATAAATCTGAAACCTCAAAATAGGCAATCTGTTTTAGAGGAAGTATTTTTCTGCATACTAATTAGGCCTAGGCGTAAGCTACTAAGTTAGGCGGCTTGCTTAGTTCTTACTGAACCAGTAGTTTATTTAGCTTCAAAGGGCAACTTCCGGATGAAAATAGTGTTCAATATATAGGCTAGTAAGTAGGACTAACTTACTGGTTTGGTTTACAAGGCAAATGGAATACCATACTGTGTTGTAATACCTTGTTAGGCTAATTTTGAAATATTACTAAGTTATGTGGGTTATATTTTACGTCAGTCACTAACTTAAGTTTATGTAAATTCACCATCAAGAATAAGTTAACTTAATTTAGGCTAGCCTAGGCCTAACATATTCTACCTCAACCAGGTTACAATTTACCGGTATTATAAAAGAAATAGCCTAGCCTATTTGAAATCCATTTTCCTTTTAAACTGAATTGGGGTACACTTCCGTGTCTGTTGTCAAAAACAACTAAATGAACATAGGCTATAACGATCGATATTTTCATTCGGTTGTTTTTGACAACAGATACGAAAGTCTACCCCTGTATTGTCTCTTAGTCTTTTGTATTTTAGTTGTTGTCTGCTTCCTTTACCAACCAATGATTAGGCCTAACTAATCTTGATACATATTTAGGCCAGAGAAAGGTATGCATGAATTTAACTAAAAGTAGTTTTCTCTCCATTGTTTCAGTTGATAACTCTGCAGCTTTGGTGGAATTTATTATTTGGTAGCAGTGAATAATTTGCCTACGGTACCAATTCTCCCGAGTGACAAAGTGGCTGTAAGGAGGAATAAATTTTTCTTTTGCAATCTGCATCTGAAGCCAGCTATCTTGCGTAAGTTTTTTTTTAATTTACAATCAGACATTAATAATAGGTAGACATACATATATTTCAATTAGGTTTTCTCAAAGTTAAAAAGTTTCAATCTTAGGTGTTTTTATTTCAATTTTTCTGTTTGATTCGCCATGACTGTGTATGTCTTTTTTGCCATAACGGGTACAGTTCCGCAGAGAACCTGCGATATATTATCGGATGAATAACATTATATATCAATAATTATCCGATTCAATACATCGTTCCCTATGTTTTTTCACTAGTAAACATCAAATTGAGTTATGATTTGCAGATTTGGTGAATTGGTTTTGCAATATTAATATCAAATCAGGTTATATACCGTCCGATAATATATCGCAGGTTCTCTTAGGAACTGTAGATAAGTTAGGTTCTACCACCAAAACACAACCTAATTCATGATAGGTACCTATTGGGTAATAACGTAGCCTAAGGTTCATCACACAGTTAAGAAAGTTTCTCTTTTTTGTGACCCACTTATATAGGAAAGTGTCTTTGATTTACACTATATAAATATTCCGGCAGTGCTAACTTGTGTAAAAGAAAACTGTATTAGTTGAATTTTTTTAAACGCACACATAGGCCTATACACACACCAAACTACATCCGACCGTTGCACTCATTTCAGTCAGTGCTCACCCCAATATTTGTCCGTTCAAGTGACTGAGGATTACTTTTACCACTACCTAGGTCAAAATTTTCAATTTTCAGATTTAGATTTAGCTTTAACAAGGCTACTCAAAAGAAGCAAATGCCATCAAAATATAAAATAGATTTCACTAACAATTTAATATGTGTACCTAATTGTAGGCTATCCTGGGTGTTGATCAGGAAAATTAAAATATATACAAATTCTAGTGCTAATACTAATCTCTTTTATACAGAGGCAGAACCGGTACGCAAGAACACTAGGATCGTGGTGTAATGGAAATATATGTTGTTGCTACTATAATCAAGAATTGGCTTCGCCCAGCAAAGTTTAGGATTGATGCAAGGTAAATTTATTGTGTTATTTATAATTTAGGTTAAAGAAAAGATTGCTTATCTAATTACCTAATATAGAACTTAAATTTTATTATAATTAACAGATTAGGCCGACATCTAACTACTGTGATGTTTTCTTTTCAAATTGTGAATTTTCAGTGACAGGCTATGCAAATGAGCAAAACTTAATCTGCGGTTTTATCCATCTCTATTTTCTTTATTGTCAAGAACTCAATGCCTTATCGACAAATTTAATTATAAAGTACAGGTATAGTAAAAAAATAGGTCTTAAAAATGCCTAACGAAGGGGTCTCCAACCTACAGCCTGTGGGCTACATCCGGCCCTCGTGCAGTTTTATTCCAGCCAGCAGAAAGCCAGCATACGTTTTTGAAAATTATTATTTTTTATAGCAAACACCAATTATATTCTCCCACGATTGCGTAAACACGTGTGGTCAGGTGGTCTCAGCTATATCGTGATCATCTCCTGTGATCTCGCCAAGACTCACGAGCATATTATACTGCAATCTCGACGGTGCCGTGATTGTCTTTTGCAATCCCAGCAACACCCTTCATTGTTGACCGTGATTTCCTTGAAGTGTAAAAAGAGAACTTTGTCAATGAATGCAGGCTCAGCCATGGGATATTTATTTACCTCGCGGCTCATACCATAATTAAGAGCAATTAACTGTCTCTTCCCCATTCAACAAAATTTGTGTACAATACCCTGTCTCCAAGTTGGCAGGTTAACGTATTTAAATAGGAACATAGTAAATGTCTCTCACTTGCTAATTTTTTCTCAATAGGCCTAGGGGAATATTAGTAGTAGTCAAGTAGCGGCAGATTAATTTAAATATATATATTTTTAATTGATCCTAATTGGTAGAACTACAAATTGAAATCTTAAACTAGCTGACATTTTAAGTGTCAAATTTTATAGCCTATTCTCACTAAAAAATCATTGAACTTTTTGTCAAAGATTTAGCTTAGAATGTGATTACTTCTTAATTGCACATCTTTCGTTAGAATTAGAGGCATTTATAATTTTATTTTATGAACAGAACTATATTTTAGATTATTAAAAAAGGAAACTAGCCTATGTAGTTTATTTGTTTATGGATAGATTTTGATAAAATTTGGCAAACTTATTTACTTTATCCTATGCTATTGACGTATGCTCAAAAAAACTTTTTACCTTCTCCATGGCTGCAAACCTAACCTTGTTAAATCTAATCTTCATTCAATTTTTATCTTGTATATTTTTTTATATTATCAGCAAGTTAGGTTAGCTTATGACAGTTTAATTTTATAATAGAATGCTCTCATTTTGTCCGTAGTAAACCTTAATTCAATTTTTTCACAATCAGCAAGTTTGGTTAATTTGGTTAAGTTACGACATTTTAATTTTATAATAGAATGCTCTCATTTCGTCCGTATCACAAAAAGCCTTTACCTTGTGACAAACGACAACTACAATCGCATCGATAGTAGATGATGTTGTGATTCGATAGAGTAGCGAATAATTAACGTTAGTCGCTAAATCGGTGGCGTTTTTAGACAAAAAAGTGCTCACCGAGGAAAAAGGGTTGGAGACCCCTTGTCTAACATATTATATTTTATCTATAGCTGTCTTAGAAAATAACTCTGTTGAACCTCTTTTACAGGAACAATAGAAAACTCAAGAAGGCCATTTGGGAGATGAAGAAGACCAGAATTATTTTTTTTGTAAATTGTACATATCTTTTTTATATTTGTGTTTAAATAATTTTTAATTAAACTTATTTTATCATACAAACCAAGTTTTTTCTTTAAAATGTTTTCCTTGAATGCAATTTTGTTTTAAACAAATATGTTTTGTGATACTTTTGTTAATGTTTTGTCAAATAAGAAATATATATATATATATTTACATTTTTGGGTCACCCAAGAACTTTAACAAACTACCTATAACTTCAGAATAATAAGTCAAATCAAGGTAAGAACAGTAAAGAAGTCTGAACTGATATTTTAATCGCCATGAAATTTGAAATGTGAAAAAATGCAACCTAATTCTTCTAAACATATTTTACCAATAAATGTATGAGACATTTATTTGATATTCAATTTAATATTTATTTAATGTCAAATTAAGTGAGGTTGAACCTAAATTGACCATTTATTTGATATCAAATAAATGTTCGCGAATATTAATTTAATATTCGAATGTCAAAAATGTTATATCAATATTTATCACCATCATATTTAAAATGTGAATGTAAATTCAATCATATTCTCTTTATTATATTTTACCAATAAATTTATGAATGTCAAATTTGATATTTATTTTATATACAATTTGAATATTTATTTGATGTAAAATTGAGTGACGTTTGAACCTAAATTGAACGTTTATTTGATATCAAACGAATGTTCGTGAATATCAAATTGATATTCAAATGTCAAAAATTTGATAGCTATTTGATATCAAATAAATATTCGGTGCTATGTGGGATTATTATGTAAACTCCTTTTGTCATAGTCTAAAAAATGTCTAAGAAGATGATCAATGTCTATGTTTCAAATTAACAGTTAACATGAAATATATTCAAATTATAGACAACTGTTACACAAGTGAAAACATATCTGGCTGCAAGTAAATCTTTAGAACCAGATGAAAATGTTCTCATGTCAGGCAATAAGACAACAAACATTGCTGTTTTTATTTGACTATACCCTCCCATTACCCTTTATTGTTTAAAATATAAAACTGTACAAAATGTAATCCTGCAATCAAAACAGCAATAATTAACTACCGTACAAACATTTAGATTGTAATAAGTAGGTTGCAAAAACATCGTGTAAGGTGAAACATAGCAAACATTTAACATATACATAGCCCTGATCTATACATTGAACATAAACTAGTGCTAGAAGCACATCCAACATAGACCCGGGTAGAACCACAATTTCTTTTGTTTTAAGAAAATGTGGTTCTGTCTAAGAAGTGCAAATCCAAAGAATATATTCATAGTGGAGTCAACACCAATGCATGCTAAATAATACCATTTGAGTAAAAGGTTAAGTAAAGTGTACTGTGAGTTTGAATAAGAAAACCAGAGATGAAGCTGCCAACACCAACACCGACCAAGTAAGATGCTGCGGCTTTCCTAGCCACTTGGGAGAGGAAGGTACTGACTGAATCTTCCTCTGCAAATCCTAAGTGATAGTCAAATAGATGAAGGAGAGGAGGACTGGCTGGGAGAGGGGATGTGAAAAGAAATTGACAGCAAACATTAGACGAATGCATACAACTAAACAGGTTTGATCAGTTATATTGTTTATTAATCTTGTTACAAAAGAACAGACAGTTTGTTAATACTAGTAGACTTTTACAGGGTAGAATTTTTGGAATCCACGTTGTGGCAGCGCTAGTAGAAGAGGAAGAAGAGTGGCCGTGATTTACAGTGAATAATAAAGGGTGTCCCAGTAAGAACGCCGGATTTTAGGAGCGTCTTATTCTTATCTGTATTTCAATAGGAATTTCCAAATTATTAGTGATTTAATCAGTATTAGGTCCCATTTGTAGTCATGAATCGTTACACGACGGATCAACACGTGATCATAGTTAAAGTGCACTACAAGTATGGGGAATGTTTCGCTGAAACGGTGCGGAAGCTGCGCGCAATTTTCGACCGAGACAATGCGCAAAAGTCATCTGTCCGAAGATTGATTTCTAAGTTCGAAGAATTTGGCTCAGTTTTGGAAATTAAAAGCCCAGTGCGCAGTCGGGCAGGTCGCTCCCTTGAAAATATTGATGCTGTACATGATAGTGTAGAGGACAACGCAAGAACATCAATTCGTCGGCGTAGTCAGCAGTTAGGCCTAGCTCGGAGCACAGTACAAAGAATTTTTGTATAATACATGTTCCCTTACAAAATTCAACTCACACAAGAGATCAAAGCCAAGAGATCCCATAAAACGGCTTGAATTTGTAAGATAGGTGGTTGGAAATCAAGCTGAAAATGACATGTTTTCAAAAACTTTGCTGTTCAGCAATGAAGCACACATTCATCGTGCGATTAACACCGAGTGACTAGTTTCTTTGAGGATATTTAAAGTCGCTTGTTTGCGCCAATAATCCTTAAAAAATCCAAGACATGAAGGAGGAAATTATTTGTGCCATTAATAGAATTCAACAGCAAGTTGGTGAAAAAGTTATGGAAAACGTTGTCAAACGATGTCGGGCTTGTCAGCAGGCAGCAGGTGGGCACTTACGAGACATAATATTCAATTACTAATCGGAGATACTATGCTTTAAGATTCCTGTTTCATATTGTAATTTTAGCGAGAAAATATATGGTTTATTAAAATTTTAAATCCGGCGTTCTTATTGGGACACCCTTTATATGAGGTTTGTATTTATTTATCATTCAGTTGTTATAACATATATATATGGGAAATATCATTAGTTTTCAGTAATAGTCTGTGAAGTTCTATACCTTTTCGGTTATAGGTTAAATAAGACTATTATTTTTGTCACCAATTATTTCCTCATTATTTATTTTTACATTAATTTTACGTTGATTGTTAATGTAATTACCTATCTTTTCTATCTGTTTGTTACTACATATACAGTGTATAAATTAAGTCTTGAAACAAATCTGTATTTTTTTAACTGAAATAGATAGAAATATTCTGTTTGTGGTGTTGATTGTTAACAAAGGTTCTGCAATTTTTTACATCCCTAGGTAGGTGGTTACTTCACTCATACATTTAATCAGTTCAGATCAGTGTGATAGTTATTCCACTCCCCCGTTTAATCAGTTCATATGTTAAAACAATAATAAGAGTTTTTAGTAATTTAATAACAAGGTTAAAGGTGACACTTTGTCAGTAATAGTATAACTTGTCTTACTACATTAAACACCTATACCATAATAATATATTTACCTATACCATAATATATTGGACACTTGAGAAAAGCTCAATTTGTCTTAGATGTTTTTAAAACTCTCATTTGATCATTGATATGCAACACCACAATTGCTATAACATCGGGAAATATTTTTTTGAATGTGTCATTTTTAGAAGGAGGACATTATTTCAAAATTATAAACAAGTTAGATCCACAGGATTATGGACTCCAACAGATGAATGCTAAGTTCCGATTGTTACTATTAAACCTCGGTCACTCTTCTTCTCTTGATCCAAAAGCGCTGCCATACAGCGAGAGCTTTTTAAATTATTTTGTTTATGTTCATTGGTTTTTTTTTAGTAAAGTATGAATATACTTGATAAAATAACACAGAAGATAGTTACAACAAACGGTTTAAAAGGTTACAGTTTAGAGTGGACTGTAAAAGAAAAGTAAATTGGCAGTTTTATGAGCTTACCAGACTTTAAATGACATGACTCAGCAAAATAAAAAAGCTTCTATCAATGACGATTAGACTATTCTGTTTTATAATCCCGCTTTAAATATTTACAATGTTACATATTTCTCAAATTATGAAATGGCAAACATTTCACAACTTTTACTTATTGGATGCCGTTAGTGTTGAAGCTCAAAAAAGTACACTCATTTTGACATATTCTAGTGAGAGTTTAAAGGTTTGAGTATAGTAAGAGCAACCAGCAGTGATTCTCAAATGTACATCTCTCTGATTGAAAATTGCAAACTTAGGTGCTTATGAAATAGGGCAAAGCAAAGAAGTGTGAATATAAGTGTCAAGTAGAAATAATCATTAAGGTAAACACTGACACATTTAAAGCAGAAAGGAAAAGGACCAGTTTTGAAAGGAGTAGGACAGTTTCACTTAACATTTAATGTTAATTGATGTTTGGGTTGTCTAGGGGTTGGTAGGGGGCAGTTCACATGTAAAGCAAAGGGCCAAATCCACAGAGAGGTGCCTGTAAGTTGGATATAACATTTGATATATAAAAAGGAAGAGTGGACGGGCACAAATACTAAATAGTGAGGATAGAAGGTTGACATCAAGACACTGAACAGTAAGTACCTGTTAGATGATTCTGACTCATGCAAGGAGAAGTAAGGAACTGAAACAAAATTATTGAAATGTTACTAGAGCACGTAACGTGCTGATCTCCTACCACTTCGGACGCGGCTACCTGTTAGTTTTCTTTGATTGTGACTGTAACAATCTATACTTGCTAAAGTGTATATTAATAGTATGCCGGTTGAAATTCAAATTTTACTTAAAACTTTTAACCCTTTTAGACTCATTTTACAACTCTTTTTCCTTTGGAGAATACTTCCCAATAAGGCAATGTGTTGGCAAGGTGTGTATGGTTGAAGGTGACTATTGGAGAAAGTCATAGATATATGTTGATCGAAAACATCCTTTTGTTCCAATACGGTTTTGTTTCTTTGCTTAAGATTTATACCCTCTTACCTTAAGAAGTGTCTGTAAGTCAATTGTCCACAATGAACACTATACAGACTGCAATCACTTGGGCCGGTTGCAAATATAGAATATGATCTGTTCTTCAATCAATCGCTTACACGAGAGGTTTATTATTTCATGTTTATATGAACTATAGATGACTCATCATTGTATAAGTTATCTGAAAGTTGTATTTGGTAGCCTAATCCTGCCATAAAAAGAAGTAAAGATGGATTTTTACAAGACATTAACGTAAAAACTTCTTGACTATTTACGTTAGTTATATCCAGGCAACTACTCCTTGACATAATTATCATAAAATACAAAGCTATGTGAATTTAGGTTTGATTTACACTTTGACTTTATTCACCTCAGAGCTAAAGTCTTGGAATACTAAAGGACTTCACTACAGGAGTATAGATTATCAGTTACTTTCTCACATATTTACAAAAAATACACCTATGGTTTTACATAGTTTTAGTCAATGGACATTTTCTTATAGTTCCTGCCTTATTCCAAAATTTAATAGACACTATATTTTTTTACTTACCGTTAACTGAAGGAAATAGGATGGTGTTTTATCAACTGGATTTTAAAATTACTACAGAGATAATATATGATTAAGTATAGCTTTTTTCTAAATCTAGATCAAAATTTTAGATTACTGTTAGGCCTACTCATCTATCTAAACCAAAACAACAAAAAAACTATGCTAATTTATGAATTGTTAGGAAACACACTTCAGAATTTTTATATTTGAGATGATTGCAAGGGAGGTATGTTATTAATTTGTAGTAGAAGAAATACAATTTACAGCATGGCATTGATCACTATACAGAGTTCAATTTTGATCCAAAATCCAAAGGTGGTAAAATATCAATTTTGTTTATTTAAGTCATTGCAACATTGAGTTTAAATTTTTAATACGACATTCAATAGCACGTGGATTGTTACCAAACTACTTTTATATAGCAGAAATAATATAGTTTTATTAACATATTTGTATTAGAAATACTCAATGGTTGGTAAAATACACTTTTTGAACAGTGCTTTTAAGGTTTGCTATAACAAAAAAAAAATAGCATCAAACACTGATAGTTACTAGGCTCTTTTGCATACGAGCAGCTTAGTTTAAAAACATATTTCTCATTAAAAAATTAATATGTATATTACAGTGGCATAAGATTTACAAAGACAACATATTATGTAGGGCTTTAATTATTTTACAAAGTTATGCTTCACAATGGAAAGAAAATATGTTAACTACAAAGAATAAAATCTAAATACTGTGCCAAAGCTACTCCCCTCTCTGAGTTGGTAAAATATGTTTCTGTGTTACATGGTACAAAAGATTGTTAGTCAACAAATTAGGAAGCTTAAAAATGGGACTGGGAATCTAAAGTTTGCAAAAGCAGTTACTTCTGACGGACTATTACTAGTAGAAGATGAAATCATTATTTTATTTTAATACTGATTAATTCAGAGAGTGGACAGCACCTACTGCAAAACATCAAGTTTTATTGTATTACACACTTTAGAAACTATAGAAATGGGAAGCAAACACAATTAAATAATGGTAATTGTAATACTAACCATGGTCAACATCAGAATGCCAGCTGGTTTGACTTGAAAGACTGGCAGGGCTTTGTCCATAGTACGTAACTTCCCCTCCAGGTCCCTTTTCTCTGGCCGCTCCAAGTTCCAAGTCCTCTTCTGTGGAGCTGAGTCGTCGAAGCCGCTTGTTGCGCGGCTCACTAGGACTTTGGGCACTCCTGGGCAATGACAACGGGCCTGCACAAAAAAGATGTTCTGATGATTTGCCTAAACGCTCCTAGGCAATGACAATACACTTGCACATAAAAAAGCTGTTCCAATTATATCTGAATAAAGATATTGAATACCTATATAATAAATGTTGAGTTTTTTATTCTTATATATTAAATAAAGTCTATAAGAAAAAGCATGATAGTTAAGAATTTTGACAAAAACTTGTACCTAAACTATCAATCAATGGTGAATGAAAGAGAATGGAAAATGGAAAAAAGTTAAAATTAAAAATAAATGTAATGATAAACAAAAGCTATTTTTTACTGCTTCACAGAATTAATATTAACGGCAAGACATGCAATGTTTACATTGATGAAGTCTTCATAATAGACTGTTGTACTCCTCTGAGGGAATAGACGTCCTATTATTGGCAAGAATAATAATAACAGCCGCTGAATTATAAATAGCAAAAGCAACATTGGGGCTAGACTTCCAGGAGCCTCCCTATTACACTTCTGCCTTAGTTGATAGACTTTCAGGTGACACAATATTACACTTCTGCCTCAGTTGCCAGACTTTCAGGTGCCACCCTATTACACTTCTGCCTCAATTGCTAGACTTTCAGGTGCCACTCAGTTGTAGACTTCCAGGTGCCACCCTATTACACTTCTGTCTCAGTTGATATACTTTCAGGAGCCACCCTATTACACTTCTGCCTCAATTGCTAGACTTTCAGGTGCCACTCAGTTGTAGACTTCCAGGTGCCACCCTATTACACTTCTGTCTCAGTTGATATACTTTCAGGAGCCACCCTATTACACTTCTGCATCAGTTTATATGCTTTCAGGTGCCATCCTATTACACTTCTGCATCAGTTTATATATTTCCAGGAGCCTCCCTATTACACTTCTGCCTTAGTTGATAGACTTTCAGGTGACACAATATTACACTTCTGCCTCAGTTGCCAGACTTTCAGGTGCCACCCTATTACACTTCTGTCTTAGTTGATAGACTTTCAGGTGCCACCCTATTACACTTCTGCCTCAGTTGTAGACTTCCAGGTGCCACCCTATTACACTTCTGCATCAGTTTATATGCTTTCAGGTGCCATCCTATTACACTTCTGCATCAGTTTATATATTTCCAGGAGCCTCCCTATTACACTTCTGCCTTAGTTGATAGACTTTCAGGTGCCACCCTATTACACTTCTGCCTCAGTTGTAGACTTCCAGGTGCCACCCTATTACACTTCTGCCTCAATTGCTAGACTTTCAGGTGCCACCCTATTACACTTCTGTCTTAGTTGATAGACTTTCAGGTGCCACCCTATTACACTTCTGTCTTAGTTGATAGACTTTCAGGTGCCACCCTATTACACTTCTGCCTCAGTTGTAGACTTCCAGGTGCCACCCTATTACACTTCTGCCTCAATTGCTAGACTTTCAGGTGCCACCCTATTACACTTCTGTCTTAGTTGATAGACTTTCAGGAGCCTCCCTATTACACTTCTGCCTTAGTTGATAGACTTTCAGGTGCCACCCTATTACACTTCTGTCTCAGTTGATATGCTTTCAGGTGACACAATATTACACCTTCTCTCTGTTGCTTGACTCCCAAGCCCCCCCCCCTAATTACGCAACTGTCTGTATGGATCTAAGCTAGGGTATAAAACTAAAATGTCACCAAATCTGTCTCTTGCCTTTACTTTTCTTCACTTCCATCTAACCAACATAAACAGTACTAGGCCACACTGGAACAGTGTTCAGTAGCTAAGTAAACCAATGTCAAAGCGGTATAGAACTAGAAGACACAAACTTGTTTATTTATTGATTCTAAACATTTCTGAGCGACATTTAATGCTTAAAAACTAAACACTAGCTAAACCAAACAACTTCTCATCGTATATGAACCATTTTGTATTTTTCCACCTTATGAATTTATACAGTAATATACTATAGATCACAGCAAGGGCCAAAATACATTGTATTTGCCCTACATTTGACCACTAACTGCTGAAATGATTAATACCAAATAAGCAATAGGCTATAGGGTTTTTTTTTTTTTTTTTTTTTTTTTTTTTTAATAAGACTATTTATTATTGGTCAGGCAAAATCAGTTAATCAGTATCAAAACATTGAGTAAGTTACGATATATTTAATTTTTAGTACAACAAAAAATGCAACAATGCAGTACTTAAATGTATGGTTGAAACTGCCTATATTATCAGTTGGTTCTCGAAACTCTTTCCTTTCCCCGTTTTCTAAATGCTACTTTTTGCATCAATAAAATCTTTCTGAATTAAAAGATCTTAGAGTGAGTTGTGATAATTTTCCACTGTTTATGAATATTCTCCTCTGAATAAAACCACACTAGGGTTTTAAGCTAGAAATATTCAGTTCGAAACCAAAGCCAATTTACTTTGACATTTAATCAGCTATCTTTGAATGGCCAAGTGCTCTATTTAAGTTTGGACTGTGGTTTTATTGGGAATAGACGATTATTGTTTGAACAGGAGCAGAGCGTTGACTCTGTCCCGACACGTGTCCCATCTTTGTGTTTAAATATAACACGTCCACGTCTGTATGTCAGGCATCGGTCTTCCGAATCGTCCATCAGAAACTTAAATAAATGATAGAAAACAATACAAAGTAAAATCACGTAAAACACACAAAATCTGGTCTCAACTCATTCAATATGCGAAATTCGACATTGTGTAATTAGTATGGGTTAGGTATGTGTTAGTTCAATATTCACATATGGTAGTCTATTGTCTTAATTTACACGCATACAACAACCCGAGAAATGCCCTTTCAACGCTTTTGTGACTACGATTTTATCATATTTAGGCCTACAATTATGTATCTACCAACAGCAAAAAGAATATTTATTAATTGCACTCGAATTTAAACAGTTGCAAATATCCTACTATTGCTTACCGACTACAACATTTTTTTTAATTTAATTTATTTGACCATCAACCTCTTAGTAAATCGTTTAAAATTAGTTAACGGGTCAAAATAGAAGGGCTATCGTTCTAAGTCATAGTTGAATATCGGGTTCAGGAGGCTTGTATAGCTACTGCAGTAGTTCAGTACTACAGTATGTTACTGTATAAATTCATAAGGTGAAAAAAATACAAAATGGTTCATAGGATATGCGGTTGTTTGATTGAGCTTTAGTCGAGTTTTGATGAATTAAATGTGGCAGAATCAATAGGTAGAGTAGGACTACTTACTGTAGGCCCCTGAGGTCATCATAGTCGAATGGTCCGGTGCGGGAGGCGTGTAGCTACTGCAGTAGTAGCCGGGGTTTTCAATCTTGATCACATTAATGGGAGGTTGCATTCCGTTGGGGTTATGGACTATGGAGGCTGAAAAACAAAAAGTACAATGCATTAGCATAATTACGATTTATTTGAAGAGAACAAGTTACATGAACGCTTAATGTTCAATTTTATGGTAGATAAATTATTACAAATCATTTTCCTTGTATTAATCCCCATATAATAAGAGTGTTGCAATGTTATATTGACATTGTATAAACGAGTACTGTTTAGCATTTAATAGCTTCTAAAGGTAATGTGTAGTACAGTAGTTAAATCCAGTTTACTATTACTAAAATGAGTTCTAGCCATATTATTTAGAAATATTTTACCATAAAATATTTATATCTTCTAAAACGAATGCAATACTATACACATCGAACAAGCGAGGGGCGACTTTTTACAAAACTATACATCCAACTAAGTCATTTCAGTTTAAGTATTTTGTATCGCCGATTGTGCGTAATTATAGTACTTTAGTGATATTTGTTGATCATAAAACTCATAATGTAGAGTACCAAACCTTCGAACATTGACACAAACTTGAAAAAGCATGACAAAAGATTTCTAAACGTTTAACAGAAAATATAATTTCAGAGGGAGAAAACGTGTCTGCTGTATTCTGCGTCTCCGCTTTTACCTTGGGTTCCATTTGAATTCAATGGTTCGGACAAACTCAATAACCAATTGAAGAAGAATCAAGCGCTGAGAGTAAACTTTTTACCGGTTAATTGTTATTTGGCGGTTCTTGCGCGTTATCTGAAGCGAAGCGAATGGGGCGCGAAGAAGCAGTGTGGCTGAATACGCCCTTATCGTGGAGGTGAGTAGGGGGAGGTCATTGCTAGTTCGGTCTTATCCTTATCGAGTGTTTCAGTCCATATCACAAACTTTCTAACTAAAATGTGATAAAATTCCATGAAAACTGCAAGCAAAATTTGGTTATTGCACATTTAAGATACAAAGCTTTGGGCACAAGTTTGGTTGAACGGGTTGAACATTGTAGGTGAAGTTATTGACGACAAAGTTTTCGTTTTTATATTTCGTAAAGAACTTGTAAAATATGCCCCCGTCACAGCACACCTGTAGACAAATTTCCAATTGCCTAGTTGGATTTTGACTAGAATATTTCCTTAAATTATCATATTTATTCCCTATTGAAATATCATTAGGTTTTAAGTGCTTAGGTTTGCTTATATAGGGAAGGTAACAAAATGTGTTTCTTATTGCAATCTTATAGATTATTATAGTATATAATAAATAAGTTTGCGAAGTTTGTCAAACTTTTTCAATAAACAAACAAACTACAACAGTTGATTTATTCTCCATAAGAATAAACATAGAAATTTTAAATTTACTATTTTGTTTATTTTCTCTGAAACTATTATACGTATAATGATGCTTTGATGTAACTTACTAAATTATTTGTTTCTAAGCTCAACAAATTGGTTTTAAAATATTTCAAAATATTTTGTGGTCAATAATGAGAAACCCCAATTTTTACCCCATAAACACCCACAAAGCCCCGTTCAATTATGCTGGTTTGCGAACTCGTTCGAATAAACGTTGGTTTACTTTTCAGCCTCAATGAACTTCAAAGTGGGGTCCCGGGTCTAGGTCTTACCACGAGACTTACGGTAATAGCGTATTGCCTATGAGAAATTATGTTGATCAAAAGTTTGTCTAAAAAATTTTATTAAACAATTGCGAATAAAATACACGTCTTTAATTTTCAAGCATGACAAACGTGTTTTAACCGAATGTCAGTTAATCATTTATTTTGTTAAATATGAACAAAGAGCGAATCAAAGCCTAGGTGTAGTGTTTTGATCGTAAGTTATTTTTATACTGTAGTAGACTACTAAACCGGCTGGAGACCTAATTATGCTCTTCTCGTTGCACTAAGTGGCGCATCTTATCTCGGCTCAACCAAAGTAGGCTATTTTACGGATCAGGGCGGCTCGCGTTTTGGCACCAACCCCTGCATAAGTCGCTATATCGTCGTTAAGGGCCTCTATATCAGCTCACAGCCGAATAACCCTCTGATATTGTTTGTGCATCTATTAACCTACATACGCTAAGCCTATCGCCCTACAGTTCAAGACTAGTCCATACACAACCATTGTCCTCATTTCTAGGAGAAACAAACTGCGTTAGAAGTACGTCTATGTCAACGAAATTACTATGTTACTCTATAGTGGATCGACGATTAACTATTTAATGCAAATCTTGTGACTTATTGGCAAAAACCAATAAGTAGCCTACTATAGATTTCGTTTCTGGACAAGTTGGAACAATTTTAAAATATTTTGGTACCTTTATCCACTAGGCGTTAAAACTCCCAACTCACAATTATCAATTGTACTCTGTATATTGTAATTTGATATATAATCACGTATAAAGTTTATGTAAGTGTTTTAGAGCGTCCTAATTTGAATAGTAGGTATATTTCATCACTTGGTTCTAAAGTGACTTTCCGACAAGAGCTCAAGTTTTACGATTGAGGCGATCGAAGCTGAGCTTAGAAAATAAGGGTCGAAAAGACACTTCTGGCTTGTGTGAAGAACAATATTGTTCGTCATTTATTTAAGCTAACTGAATCACGAAAGAATAACTTTGTAAATTGTTTACGTTTGTAAGTTAGTTCCCAAATTATTTATTGTTATCATATTTCATACGAACAGATTTTACCGTTAATTGAAAGCAACAAATTAATATATTCGAATTAAAGAAATTTATCTGGATGTTAAAGAACAGTAATAACGATGTTAATGAACTAAAACATGCGATGTGAGAAGATGATAAACATAAATAAATGTCGATATCCTTGCAATATTTGTTACTCATAACCGGGACTATTTTCTTCGGCAAAAACAGCAGGCGAAAATCAGAAAAATGTACAGCTAAACTCTAATTTTCCCCGCAACACAAAAAAATTTATGAAAACAGCCGTTTTCGAAGCAGTATGATGAAAATAGTATATGCCATTAAGCATATAGTGAGTGTGCAACACATTTCTTCTAGATATTATTAAATGTTTTATACATACAAAATGTAAAAATTCCAGGACAGCTAAATATAAAAAAGTAACAAAAAAAAACTACAAACCTAGGAACGATGTCACTGGACCTAAAATCATTGTAACAGATTATTCAGTGATACTTATGCTACCTTCTCAAGGGGTCGGCCCGCTAGCAGTCAGAAGAAAATCTATAATGTAAGCATAGGTTGATATGCATATCAAGTAAAAGGTCTTTATTAGTGGAACACAATTCCACAAAACCGAACTCAACGGACAACGGAGTCTAAAAAATGGTAGCCTTTGAAAGACTCATTGAATTTGCAATTTTGAATCTTTATACGGGTTCCATTTTCCCTGGGATATTTTTGCTACCCTGTATATATATCTAAAATCTAAATGTGCCAATCAACGACCGAGGATGAAGGTCAAGTAAAGTGACAACAGGACTTCATCTGACCTGGGCCAGCCTGAGCCCTCTGGGGCAGTCATGTGGCATTTTCTGAGGGTGCGACATTAGGACTGAATGGAATTCCCTGTTCTCCCTGCCTAATTCTTATCACCCTAAACCCGGACACAGTGAACTAGTGGGATAGTGAACGGAAATATTTACTTCGTATAGATTTGTCAGCACTTTTCTTAATTAAAATAATTTAAACAGGTAAAATCGCATTGTTATATAATAATAATATTGTCCTAAATATTTTATGGTATGAGGTTAGGTTAGGTTAAGTTAGGTTATGTTAGGTTAAGATAGGTTAGGATCGGAAATTTCTGTCTTGATTTGAAAAATTATGCCGCACAATTTAGTGATTCCATGAGGTGATCCATTCCCATCGACCTAGAGAACGACTCCAAGACGCAAATGATCTCTGACGGATAGCCAACAAAATAATTTTCTAAATCTGGGGATTACTTTTCAAAAGTAACAGACCTGGTAAATGGATTTCACAATTCATATACCAGTGTGGGACCATTGGCATTTAGTAGACAAATTTCTTGATGACATGTAACCTCAACATCAAGATCAAGAAAAATAGAACAGAATATACATAGTGTCCTTATTTACTATTACTTAGGGGAAGTTCTACAATTATACTCATATTGTGGATACGATGAGGTATTTCGGCAGATTGTTTCAAACTGGGCATTCTTCATGAATAAAATTCAAAAAACCATATCAATATTTTATTTTCCCTGGATTTACTAGTATACCGTCCCAAATATTATAAAATGTTCTAAATTTTAAAATATTGTATTATAGTACAGGTCTACATGTACCACAAACTAAACTTATAAAGGTAGAAAAATATTCACAAAGGAGAAAATGTTTTAATATTCCATTAAGTTTTATTTGCTTAAAGCACTTAATTAAAACTAAAATGGAAGCCGTAGAATAGCACACATGCACATAAAAGAACGGAGTCGTTTCTTTAGACGAATTTGGCAGCGTTTCGCGCCATATGACCACAATCACCACATTAGCTGCAAGCCCCGTACTGATCCTTCGCTAATGCACACTAAACATACGTACGAGTGCCTCTCTCAACCTGCGACTGCAGCTGTGTCTACTCCAACTAGTCATAACCGTCTAGACTATTTATACCCGCCAAATTGTATCTGGGTATTGTCGGTAAGTAAAAAAACTTGTAAACAAAATTCGAGTTAGATTGGCGTTATTAATTATTGTAGCGTGAGTTACCCAAGAAACCAACCGTGAGAACATGACTAATTGTTGTTTATGTACTGGTAGTGTTGTTAATATTCAAACACGTTCAGATCTCTTTACGCATTTGACAATGTGATATTGATATTTAAGTCAGTATAGTAAACGCCTATTAGGAGACTAGTTCTTTTGTTTGAATAATACCAGTATCTGACAACACTGACTATTGTTTAAATCACAATGTGTACTCTTTCTTAAGGATTAAAGTAAGTAATAAATTGCTATTTGGTAAAGAAGTTCCTTGTTTGAGTAATTGTGATGACACAAACACGGTTCAGGATAAGGCCCACAGTTGGTAAGAATTTATCATGTAGACATTTGGTATAAACCGGTAGAACTGTTCTTCCAAGTCATTATGATTTGCATTTGAGCTTCGAAGGTATAGTTGTGCTACTTTCCTGGAATATGTCCTGTTGGTTCAAATCCCTTCAACTTACCAAAAATTGTAACCCCTCCAAAGTGGTTCGGAGCCCACCTTAGTCTGTAGGACCATCAGTAATCTATTAAAAACGTATAAGTACTCCAGGTTTTTAATAAAATACATACGATGATAAAGAATATGCTATTTTGAAAGTAAAAAATATTGTATGTTAAAATTGTTACAAATTTACATTACATTAGGTGCATTAGGTTGGAAATAGCTGAGAAGGTGCGCGTGGTCTATGGGCTATTGCGTGGCCACGTGGTTCGACTACATGTTGCCATTCAGTGTCGTTGCCAAAACCCTCTCCAAGTTCCCACGCCTCGAGCCAATAGTCGAAAATATTTTTACTGCTACTCCAGACTTGAACTGATGCACACTGCTGAGAGGAGGGTCGAGGTTCCTTTTCTTCGCCGCTTTGGTCTTCGATCAACTCTTACTGTTCATTGCAGTTATGATCAGTTCATCATGATCTCATTTCCTAATTCTCGTGTTTATAAGATGAGAGACCTACTCACATCGACGAATGTTTTAATAACCCATTACAAAACAATGTTTTCATAAAGCAAGTCTTCCTTGGACATATGAAAATTAGCAATAGAGATGGACAAGAATAATCAGACGTATAGTGAATGGACGATTGCCGTTTACTTGCATGAAATTGTAACAGTACTACGTGAAAGGTTTTGTCAAGGGTCTTCACAAATCAAGATTTTTTTATAATAATGGCCATGATTAATCATAGCTTAAAATGTTTACAACTCATTACGATTGTCATTGTATTAAAATTGTTAAATAATTAGTATTCTATAGATTTATACATGATCTCATCGTAGTTAGTCATATAAGGATGTTTAGTATCTGAGGAAATACAAAAACTTAATATAAAATATGGTACAAACGTATTTGAAGATCGTGTATATTCTGATTCATTCGAAATAAAAGTTAATATTTTATTCTTAAACTGACCATACTTTTATAATGACACTAAACATATCAATACATACATGGCGTAGTAAATGGAGGTAGACTACAAAAACGAATTACAGAACATAGTTGTTTGTGGTTTCTCGAATCATGGACTAAAAATACAATTTCCTTCCAAATCAGTAGACCTATATTTCACGAGATATACAGTTAAGAAATACCGAAGAAGATTGAAATTCGTATTGAATTCAATGCCAAGATGACATCAAATCAGTCAGACGGAAAACTAGCCAATCACAAAATGAACTTTTTTCCGACGAGTGAAGTAAACAAGGGTTTGTAAGTTTGTTTTGGAACGTGTTTTACTTCCATATACCATGCTATATAAAGATGTATTGGACACTCTATACTAGTGTTTATTGCAAAGGAATTCACTGTGGCGAATAGGAAAAATCTGGCCCTAAAGATCTCCTTGTAGAGCTTAACAGAGGAGAGTTAATAGTGTGTACATAGGGGGTGTGGGGGTGAGGGTGACACGTATGTGTGATTTGCGTGAGAATGTGAGATCACACATACGCACACCTACACACACACACACACTTGTACAGTTAAATGGCTAGTAAAGAAACAGATCATTCACGGCACATTTCCCCGCCACCTTACACCTTGGTTTGCTGCCGTTAGCGTTTTAATCCCCAGCTGTACCCCTGCGTTTGACAGTCTCCCTACAAGATTTTCTTTCGTCGTACTAAATGAAATTTTGTATGGCTTTTATTTAATCAAAATTATCAATTGAAAGGTATTACGTAGTTTTCATATGATTACTGTACCGAATGTAATACTCCACCGTGTAAAGATTTACGTAGTATTTATGTAGTTTGCGTGAAATGTATGATATGTATATGAAAAATTAAGGAATCTTAAAAGTATAAGAGTCAGGAGGTTGCCTCTATATTATCTAAATTTCATCAAACAGACTATTTATTTAGTCTGTTATTAGACTATTGGTCTGGCCATAAAAATAGAACTTTCAAAGGACAAGATTGTTATAAAAGCTATACCTATAGAGTTAATCTTAGTCAAAATTTTGCCAGGATTTAAATTCCTATTATCAATATACATAGTTATATGTGTCTGCAATAGAAGCTAATTCATTGCATTCTGAGAGGGTTGATTCTACCCACTACTGATGTAAAACCTGGTATCAGCAAATTACGTGAAAAACAATAGTTTTAACAGACGAATCAAATATCCATTACTTTTTTAATTCGTTTACCTACGACCGTTATTAAAGTGGTCGTTTCAGTTCAGTTCTTAGAATTGAAAAGTTTCACATAACAGCATTGTTTACTTACATAACAGCATAGATTTACTTAACAACACAGGTAACGGACAAATGAGGTTCAATGATTGAGAGATAAGAAGTATAATTGTAATGCTTCGAACTTCAACTAATCAGCTGTTTACCAATTTAATTGTTAACGATTGGTGCAATTAGTGGTTGGTACAATGAGTCGTTGCATCAATGTCAGTGGCAATGTGAGGTTAAAAACAAAAACATAACCTCTCTTAGAAGTTTTGAGTAGTGATTATTAATAATTAAAAACCAGTCGTAGGTAAAGTAGTGTACGAAACTGGCGTAAATACTGTTTACGTCGTACTACACAGAAACAGGTACTTTTCCATTTGTATCGATAGGTTGGAAAGTTGCTCTTTACCGTGCCTAAACACGGAAAAGTAACGTAATATACTATTACCATGCACTGCACGGTAAAAACCTTTTACCATGCACTTAGTCAGGTGATGAAAAAAACAGCAAACTGCAACGGCCTATTTGATTTTCTGTATTATAAAAATATTATAATTTATGTTATGTCCTAAATAAATTGTGTTATGCGTTTAAAATGTACTAATTATTCTGTGTATTATGATGTAAAGTATCTTACGTTACTCGCCCGGTAAGCTTTAAAGTGCTCGCACGATAATCCAAAAAAACGAAAATCTCAGTTTTTTGGGGCAAAAACTGTCGTGCTCGCACGGTAAAACACCACTTACCGGGCTAGTAACATAATATACTATAACGACACTCGTAGACGTTTTCAAGGCGATCCCAACCCTTTTAGGGTCGTACCTTAAATTGTCTACTCGTGTCATTAACACTATCTTATCACAATCGTTGCGTAAACTACTATTTTGATTGTGTGTAGAGACATTAAACAATTTTACAATGGCATTTTTTCCTTTCTCCCCCTATACATAGGCTTAGTATATGGATAAAGTATTGTTTACGTCAACATTTTCGAGTCTGCGTTTTGTGTGCAAATATATGTTTTGGGCCCCCTGAACCCAAAACGAGATTGTCTACAAGCTAATGGGAGAAGGTAAGTGTCAGATTTATGATACCGTTTATTTGATTTTACTCACATTGATATTTGATATTAAATAATCGGTTTTAATTAATGATGGAAACAAAAAGACTCTTCACATGAATTCTATGTTATAAAATTAATGAGTACTTAGGATTGCTGCTACAACCTTATGTTTAAAGGAGATTTAGACCGAGCGCTTAGAAAGCAGTTTAAAATGCAGCCTAGAAGAATGTAACAATTAATGACGAACTCAATATGGAATAGATATAGCTTCAACATGAAATGTCTGTGCACCGAAATACTCCTGCATTAAACTAAAGTTTATGAAAAAGAGATGATAAATTTCGAGTTCGAGTGGTTATAATAAAAATAGCATGCAAATATATGATTTATATTACTGTAATACAGTATAAGGTACTGTATTACGAATATACTTTTGTATTATTTTAGTTATGTACGTTTTTTGGGGACAAATTTTACGAGCGACACTTTGAAACCTTTAGCAATGCTAGATAAACGCTATAAACTTGTTCGTAGTACTCTATTATTAAATATGCAGGTACTCCAACATCTTACACATTTTTTTACGTAAAATAAGATGGTTAAGGCCATGGAAAAACTATGTTGAAGCAGAATCTATTTCTTGTTTAGTAAAATGCGACCTTAAGGCAAATTTTGCATATCTTGTGAAAAATATGAAATTTTACGACGTTGCCACATCACTAATATATGGCAAATTTGTGTTTTTATATTTGAAATAGAACTTAATAAAGATTTCCTTTGCATTATTCAAAAGCTAACATTAATTGTAGAACTTATGTCAAACGACCATTTTGTAAAACTAGCCAAACTACGGAATGGTGAGCAAAAATGGTCTAACCAGCCTCTTACACAATAGTTGACACTTTATGGTATAATTTACAACGGTGTGAAAAACTCATATTGAGTGATTGTTCCTAAATAAAGTTTTATTTTACATTTTAATCATTTTAACTGACTTACATATTTTTCATGTATAAGCTTTTGAAAATTTATTCATCTACCTGTTATATTACGGTTTTATAGTTTAGTTATTCGTTATTAAGCTCTTTCGCAAAACTCAAACGACTTAGCCGTAATGGAACCGATGTTTTATGAGTACTAACATAAAAATAGTTTCAAAATAAAGTGAAATTACCTTTGGAAAGCCTCCAGAGCTCTTTGGAGGAGAACACGCCCGTCGCTAAAATGGTATCATTGCAGACGACACCGTTGTATGGGTTGTGCGAATAGCCTACAACAAACCGACAAGCCTAGTTAGAAGTAGTCTACAATTAATAAATATAATGCCAATGATTTAGATTGGCCGATCGGAATATATTAAACTAATCTATATTAGCCCCATGAGTCAATAACGATTAAAACATTGGTTCCTTTTGATTTTGAGTTAATTGTGTAATTGTTGATGTGTTAACAGTAGTTTCGTATTGGAACAAATATACAAATACAAAGCATTTTAAAGTTAAGATAATATAAACCAATTTGAGCTAAATTATCGAGTAAGTACAATGAACAGCTTTAAAATCATGATTTTGTTGGTGTAGGTTAATACAGTTTTATTATTAATGAATGACGAAGAGGGATCTAAAAATAATGACAGTAACTATCAATGCACAGTACTCGTATAAGTTTTTAAATGTAGTTTATACTAAGAATCTAGGTGAATTTAGTCCTTAGGATAGTGAATAATCTATTAGTACGATTAGTGTAATTCAAGACTTGTTATTCGAAAAATAGATTGTAAAGTTACACAATCAGTTGGTTTCGACCAAAGTATATCGGTGTATTTATACAGCAAAAATTTTTTTCAACTGAATTCGTACTCTGTAACAACAATATAAGTAAGTAAGTTTTCATAAGATACTAGGATGAAAAATAACAATTAAGATCAAATATCTTTTATAAAGTGATTTTTTATAGATTACAATAACGCTTTCTTAATCAACTCTTTCTTTCATAGAATGAAAGACTTATTTTTAAGTATGAGGATTTTTCTTGGAATACTAAACTAAGTTCGGTTTGTTGTAAGCGCTTCTTTGCTCGGGAAACAATTTTTAACGTCAACTGCCGTGTTTTATCAAGAATATTATTGTTTTTTGATGATTAATTGTGAAACTTGAAAACGATGACAAACCTACCTTCTACGATGATACTGCTGTCCGGACTATCCGCGGCCTACTTTAATAAAGGAAATAATTATATCACATTCTACATTTTAATCGTAATATTAAATCATTTAGGTGAAATTAATTAACATTAATATTTTAGTTTGATGGCTACGAATTCCAACAACAAATTACAATAGTTTAAACTTGTGTTACCTTTGTTATTGAAAGGTTCCATTTTAATTTTCAGTAGGTTATCTTTTAGTCTTACAGTTTTGTTTATTAATGGTTTTGGGGGAAATAAGAGCCAAAGGCCCTCAAATACGATTGTTTCTTTATTAAACATTTACGTGAACAACTGCATCATTCAGGTTTATATCTGAATAACCAACAACTCGAAAACAATTTTGTTTTATTATGCACTAAGATTTAATGACTGGATTCAACTCAAATAGTTTTGAAAGTAAAATTACGTGACTTGTATCTACACACCGGCCTTACAGTAAACAGGTTCAATGCAAGAGTTTGCAGAGAAGAATTAAACTAATTGTTAAAAGTAATGAAAAATCAGTTTTGATTGGATTGTCTAAGTATTCGTATGATTGTCAATAAGTATGTTTATCATAAAAGACATCGATAAGTATTCCTCAGCATGCATCTTTTTCTCAATCAAGCATCAACGGTTTCTTGAATAAGTAGAAATCCTTGTTCAAAACTAAGCAGACGCACTAAATAACATTTAGGATTACACTGAAACTAGTCATCATAAATAGGCTACGGTGTCTGTAATAAATCACAACAGTAAAATCAAATGCTGCCTACCTCGGTAAAAAAGTAAATACAAATAAATGTAACTCATGATATAATAAACAATTCGTGAAATAGTAAATAATTGCCAAACCTAACAGTTCATGTGAAAAATTTTATGATTCAAAAGTGTATTTAATACATTGAGGAATAAGCTCGGAATACATTTTCAACAAAGTTACCTTCTAAGTAAATTATCTGCAAACGTAAAATGTATTACTTTCAGTGCGTAAATGCTTCAGTTAGATAGGAGTATTTATACTCAAGAATGGCACTTATCGCGTTAAAAGAAGTCGTAAGTACAATAAGCATAGGTAGAACTAACAGCAACCAACTGTTAAAAAATCACTAGTTATTAGCAACATATTATGTAACTATTGCACCTTAACTACGCACTGATTAACCCAAGGTTATATAACGCTATTTTGGTTATATTAAGAATAAGAATATCTTTATTGTCGTTAAATACAAAAGTACAATAGATAACGTCAGAACAAATACAATGTTTGTATAAATTAGGTATATTGCAGTGTTAGAAAATAAGTTAAAACAGGAAAAAAAACTATATATTAGATATTTGGCATCCAAAAAAATCTTCCAATGAATGAAAGCTTCTGTCAAGAAGCCAATCAGCCAATCTGTCTTTAAATTTATTAAAATCAAGCTCTTGAAACAATACAGGTAGATTATTAAAGAGATGTATTTGGAGGAATTGGTGGCTATTGGTTGATTTCGATAATCTTACTATCGGAATATCTAGCTGGTTACATGCTCTAGTATTATAACTGTGAAATTCGCTACGTTTTGGGAATGATGAAAGATTTTCTTTAACATATAGCAAATTTTGAAAAATGAATATACATGGTAGAGTCATTATTCTGTGTTTGATAAAGAGAGGTTTGCTGGTCGTTCTGCGAGGAATATCAAACATTATTCTTAGTGTTTTTTTCTGCCACTTGAAAACCTTTTTGGCTCCAGCACTATTACCCCACAGAATGTTTCCATATAGATGGGAGTGGAAGAAACTGTAATAAAAAGTAATGAGCATACTATCCGATACGCAACTCTTAAGTCTTCTCAACAAAAAGCAGACTCGGAAGATCTTAGACACAACATGAGTAGTGTGGTGTTTCCAGGTAAGCTTTGCATCCAAATGTATGCCTAAAAGTTTTACTGATGACGGGATATTTGAACCTTTAAGTGTTTTAGCGAAAAGCAAATCCGTTCAGTTTTCTGATGATTTAAAGTAAGAAAGTTTGCATTAAACCAATTAGAAGAAATTATTATTGCGTTGTTTACAGTTACTTTAGACTCAGTAAAACTACTATTTGAGGAAAAGAAAGTGGTATCATCATATTGTGAACACTAACCAGTCTACTACGACAGCAATATTCGAATAAATGTTGATAGTTAAGTCAAATACTGCATAATCCTCAAATTATGTTGTAATGGATTCCCCACTGATTCTTTATAAACAAATTAAAAGTTTCCTGTAGCACCGCTAAAGAGATCCCCAGAAGTTTAATTAATTGCAACTAAAGCCATTTTTTGCTCCACAATATTACACAAATCTTCAAAATTTTTCTCGTATGATGGTTACTATTTGCTCAACTAGTATTTAAGAAAAATTTAGATTTCGTTCTTGTCTGTGTTACTTACGAATTTTCCTATGGAAGAAGATGATACAGTACTGAAATACCTATACCCGGGACCGATTTACTTTTCATTTTGATGTCCCGAAAGACCGAAAACACTATTCGTCCAAAATTTATAAAGTGTAGACGATAAGCTTGTGTGAGAACGAGAACCAGCAAGATCACGTCATGTAAAGAGAGTGTAATCGGGTTTTGAAATTATTCAAACTTTATTTTAAAAACACAAAAATGCACAATTATCATCACAATCATCGTCTAGATCTTAAAAAATGTATTTTGTATATCGAAGCGTTGTTGTACAATAAAAGTTTACGGGGAAATCCAAAAAACCGTACATTTAAAATTCCCATGTTATTCTTAGAAGGTAAATTGTTGTAGTTTGCTCGTTTATTTATACATTTTTATCAAATCTAGCTAATTTATTTATCTCATACTATTTATACCTGGCAGTTTGCCGAAAAACAGTTTCTATGTAGAAATAAACCTAATTTAATTTAAATACGGAATAGATCTGGCTTATTTAAGGAAATACTGTAGTAAAAATCCAATCAGACAAATGGAAATCCACATAGTCTGCAGGTTTGCTGCAGCGAGTTTATTAATAAAGCTAAAAATGCCAAACACTCCATCAGAAATGTATAATCAGTTTGACGTTAAAACCCAAAGAAGTACTGAAATGAGTGAAGCTACAAACAGCTGTAGTAACAGTCAAACGAAGGATCGCTTTGACAGTAAGACAACGTAAATCTTTATTTGTAAATTACATTAAATTGAAATTAAGCTGAGTGCATATTATTTGCTGGGAGCTATGTAACAATAAATTTTTAAAAGGCAGGAACGTGGAACGCACCAGCATTGACACATGGTCGGGTATTGCATGTCAGAGACCGGCTCTATAAGTCATATTGTCACAGCTAAGATCGAACGAGCCCAATCCAAGGTGAACCAGCTCACTCTACTGCGATACTGTAATTAGTTATTGCTAATCACTTAATGGATTGAGGGATGATAAGGATTATACACAGTCGCCATGTGTTGTTGGTTGTGTCGTGACCGGATCGTGTCCATGAGCAACCAACGAGTCTTGAATTTGTTCAAGACATGCTTAAAGCATTATATAAAACATTAAAATTGCAACTAGCTTACAGAATTTTGTGATCCTGCTGTTAGCGCCACCTAAGTCATAAGTAAGTTGCGGCAACTTGGCAACAAATATTATTATTTAATAAACAAACATTCTAAAAAGTCTAGGAAAATGCAAAACATCGAACGATTGGCACGATATGAACTACGGCTTTTGCAATTGTGTAATTCAACTGATGTCTCATTGTAACAACTATATGTAACATATATAACAAAATATTTGTTGCTATCCCAGTTTCAAGAACTTGAATTCTATTAGATTTACCTTTATTGTTCCTGAGTACCTTGTAGGTGTGACAAGAACATCTACCTACAATACTCAGGCAACAACGACAAAGGTAAATCCAATATAACCATGCAAGACAAATTAATGTCAATTAACCTATTTGAGAGGTAATAGTTGAGGTTAAATCAGTCCTAATATGATTATAGAATCCGAAACTTTCCTCAACAATCTTAAGTGAAAATTGCTTTTCATTTTCTATATTTCATTATCATTGTCAATCTACTCAATACAAATGATA